ATCCAGGACCCAGTTCTGGACAGTGAAGCCGAGCCAGAGGTCCAGGTGGAACCGAGGCTTCGGCAGAACCTCGTCCATGTCGGCAGAACCAAGCGAGCGGCTGCAGAACAGAAACATGTAACAGAACACAAACTAATTAACTAATAACAGAACACAAACTAATTAACTAATAACAGAACACAAACATATGAACTTATGAACATGAAGGTTTTTATTCAGCTCGACAGTCGTGACTCTGACGTTTCCAGCCTCCGAGGAAACAGTCAGATAATGTTGAGTTTGACCTTCAGTTACAGCAGCTCCTCATTAACAGCTGTAATTAACAATCTAACAGTCTGATCACTCACTAATTTTTGTGTTTGGACAATAAGATAATGTCCGTGCGGTTTACACAGATTCCTGTCATGTTGTCCGGAGTTAGTCCTTAAAATTAAAATCCCCATGTCTGAACCTCTGCCCTACAGCGGCGCTGTGAGGCTGTACCTGTGCTAAATGCTAACATTAGCATGCTAGCACGTTCTCTGAGACAATGCTAACATTAACACACTAACACGCTCTCTGAGATAATGCTAACATTCTGATGTTTAGCAGCTAGTTATAATCTTTATCAAATTCGCTGTTGATGTCGGCACGCTAACATTAGCTAGTTAGCGGTAAACTGAGCGTACAGCAGAGGCTCATGGGAATGTCATTAGTTCTGGTAATAAACCAAAGTACTGGGCAGATTGAGATGTGGCCTGATGGTGGCGCTAGAGGGAAAGTCAAAGGGTCGTCACAGTTTTTACAGTTCATCCTGAGGGGAACACGAACGTCTGAACCACATTTCAGCGGTTGAACCAAACCAATGTTGTCTAGATGTGGATGTAGCTTCTGACGATCATGCTGTATATGGGCCAGAACTGGGCGAATACTGGGCCAGAACTGGGCCACAACTGGCTGGATTTATTTTACTACTTGGTCTGAATCTACAGGCTGACAGAGGAGCTGCTCTCCCTCCAAAATCCCCAAACTCTGTGAAACTGGATTCCCTCCTTTAATCTCATCTGTTCATCTGTCACACATTGGGGGGGGTGGGGTGGGGTGGGGGGGCTGATGTCCTGCTGCTCTCATGTTAATTCAGCATTCATGAATCAGTAATGTAATCAGGTTAGTCCACTCACACACACAGTCTCATTTCCAGCCTGAAACCAGCACTTCACATTCAGTTCAACTGAAAACTCAATGTCAAAGTAAAGTTTGACTTATTTGTAAAATTTCATATTTATGTATCAACGCAACCTCAAGACGACTCTGGGTAGCATTACTTATTTATTTATTTGTTTGTTTGTTTGTTTGTTTGTTTGTTTGTTTGTTTATTTGTTTATTTGTTTGGGGGAAAAAAGATCAAGAGAAAAGTCTATTTTTCATTTAAACTTCTTTCTAAACTAAATTCTTCATTTTTCATTTTCTTCAAATTCAAGTTTGTTGTAATTTAAACAAAAAAACTTTAAAATTCTATCATATATTATTACATTATAATTTAGATTCATTATTATTTTTTGTGTTTTCATGCATCATGTTTTTGTGTAAATAAACAAACTTCATCACATGGTGTGAAGAAAGACCAAGAGAAGATGATACAAATATAAAGAATATTAAAATATATATTTATACTATAATATATATTTTCAAATGACAAATCTGTTGTAAAAAAACTTAATTAAGTTTTCAGTGTTTTAAAATCTCAGTGGCGTCTGATCAAAGTGAAGTATTCCACATGATCTGACACTAATAGACTGATTATTGATCTTTGGAAAAAAGAGTTTAGTAGGAAATAAGTGTCAGTTTGTGATGAAGCCAGTGGAGAATAGCTGCATTGTAATTTGGATTTCTGGTCTTTATTTATCATTATTTATAAGATATAAATGTGAATGAAAATGAAAATGAGGGGATGAAATGTTTTGCCTAATCCAAAAGAATAAATGAAATCCGACCAGTCAAACCAGTTCCTCTTCTCCAGCTGTGACTCAGAGCCGGAGGAACGTGTTGGTCATGAAGTGAACCTCTAGACATCATAGAGCTGTGTGGTTAATTAGATGTGACCGTGATAGTTCGTTAAGGGTGAGACTCGTTATAATGAATATAGTACAAACCTGCACATGAAAGCTGCTGCCTGCAGAGCTGCGCTCGGCCTCTTCCGACTGAACGGCTGCATCTCTGTTCAGGACCGTCTGAAAATCCTCCTTTTAAACTAAAACTCCACCGTCTGTAGCAAAACCCTCATCTGCATCAATTATCTTCCCTCCTCACGATGTTCTCTGGACGTCTCCTTCCATCCTCGCTGAAGCTGAACTGGTCTCCTCACCAGAGCAGAGTCTCTGTGCAGGAGTTAAACTGCAGGTTTATCTGCAGCAGATAAGCCTGTAATCTGTATAAACCTCCGCCCAGTGTTTTATTAGACAGCATTAATCTGGTTTCTCATGAACACAGTTAGAAGCTTATGCTCCGACTGAGCCTCATGGCAAAGAACAACAATACCTGGGAAACATGTTTTCATCTGTCTGAGAGGAAACTGGGGCAGAGGAGGGAAAAAACATATTGTCTGCATCATGTGACTGATCACAGATCAGATCTGATGGATAAACTCCTGCACAGTTACTCTTAATACAAAAGGTTTACCCCAGTTTGGCCAACTGTTCTGTCCTTCCTGATGGAAGGGCAGAACTTTTATACTGCAGTAACGTCCTGCGTACACTGACTGCTTTTACATTTTGTACTCATGGAATAACTACGAAACATTTTAGATATCAAGAAATAAACTTTTAAATCTTTGAAATCATAATGTTTCTGAAGGTAATTGTTTTTATTAGGAATTGATTTTTGTATTTCTGATTGTTTTGTTTTTCTTTCTGCTTGTGTAATCTCAGCATCATTGAAAATGAGAATCACCGCTCAGTGTATCCCCGAGAAAGTAAACGAAGGTTGATGATGATGATGATGATGATGATGATGATGATGATAAAGATGAAGTTACAAATGTTGAAATCTGGACTCGAGTGATTTCAAAAAGGACTTTAGATTTGAGAAGCAGTTTTACCGTCTGATCAGTTCCAGTAACATTCTGGAGATTGTAGAGAATTACAGAGTCAGGTCAGACCAGGTGATGACACACTTCCTGTTTGGTTGTCTCGGTTGGAGAAGAGGAAAACCTCTGCTGGCGCTCCACATGATGAGAGCGACCGTGAATTCAGAGTAAAGTCTCTGTGATGTCCTGCGTCTGCAGGCAGAGCTGAGGAGGAGGATGTTTTTACTGTCAGTCCATTACTGTCTCTGTAACCTGGCAACAGCCACTGACACACACACACACTGACAGGCAGTCACAGATGAAAGCACACAGAGGGATTGAGATGTGTCCACTTCTTCTCGTTCAGGCTTCACTTTCCCGCTTTATTTGCTGGTGCAGCAGCTGAAGAGGTTTTTTCTTTTTTCAGGTTCCTCCAAAAAAACTGCAGTTTCACTTGGATTCATTGTATTTTTCTCTCTGTGTGATTCAACTAAAAACTCCTGCACACGTTTCTGACTTCCTGTGAACTTCTGTCGGCCATTTTGTCTGTGGAGCTGCTCGGTGTGAAACAAATAGAAACAAAAGGCTTTTCTCAGATCAGAGGACGCAGAGTTCAGACTGCCGTACATGAGAGTCGAAACTCCCAAAGACGGGAGGAAGCAGAAGCCTCTGATCAGTTTCAGCTGGACTCTGGTGATTGCACTTCAGCACACCTGTACCTCACTGTACCCTGACAACATACTTCAACTGTAAGGTTAAAAAAAACAAGACGAATGCTGGGTTCAGACTCAGGGTGTCACGATATACAGATACAGACAGTAACCGTTTAATTAATTCACCAAAAAAGAGACAAAACACACAATAAACAAAGTTAAAGATGAATGGCTGATGGGAACGTCATTAGTTCTGCAGGTATTTGGTCATTAAACAAAGGATTGGATAAATGAAGATGATGTTGTTGAATATTTCAGTCTTCAGCAAAGTGGTGGACAGACCGAGAGATACAACTGCTGTAATTAAAAAAATGTTTTAAATGGAGCTGCTGTCAGCAACCTGGATTTATCCGAAGTAAACTGCTCTGCTTTCATAAACACACAACACGTTCAAATTCGTTTCGTTTTCTGATTTATCCTGAATCTTGTGTGGACAAAACAATCCCACCGTGGAGGTTCCTGAGCTTTCAGTCACGTCACCGCAGTAGTTGTCGTGAAATTGTAGATGTTCTCACATGTGTCATGGTATTGAGATAGAAGTAATTTGTTATTATGATATAATAAACACGCAGCTGAAGTTAAAATAGAATGAAATTAAAGACATTTGAATGTTTTATTTTGAAAATTAGTTGCCAGGATGTACTGTACTTCTTTTTCTTTCTTTCTTTTCACACCGTCAGTGTAAATTTAGAGGGTCTTATATGTTGTACAACCTTTAGAAAATATTTTGGTTGTTTTATTCCTTGAAAGTGTTTTTCTGATGGCAGTGGACAAGCCAGTGGTTCAGAAACAAGTTTTCTGTGTAGTTGTAACACACAAAATGGACAATAAAGATAAATTTATTTTGATTTTAAATCTTTGATTTTTCATTTTTATTTGTTTTTGTAATAAATTGATGCAGAACACAATATGATATGTTTTAAGGTGTTAAGTCTGTCTAAAATCACTTTTTAACAAAAAGTGTTTTAAACGTCGTCTGTCTAGTTTGTTACTTTAATTTGTTTAAAGCAACAACCTTCCTTGTTGTTTAATGTTTTGTCTAAATTACTCTTTAAATAAATGTCACGAAGTAATTACATTTATTTATTTTTTATTTTTAACACTTGTATTCTCCCTCGTGTTTTGTCAACATTGAAACAGTAAAATAAAGTTTGAAAAAAAAACACGCGGATAGAATGTGGAACTTATATCAACTGGAGAACGTTCCAGTCGGAGGTATTTTTTAGTTGAACGATAACTTCCGGTAGATGACTAGCTAGCAGAAGGTGAAAGTGCTTGAATTTGTTGTTGAAACTTCCGCCTCGTTTTGAGTTTTCAGACAGAAACCGCGCCAGAGGATGATTCAGTAGACCGAGTAACGAGGCGCCAGTTTAATTTCATGAAGCCTGGAGCGGGAAAGTGTCGGTTTAAATGAACACGTCGCTAACGTTAGCAGACTAGCTAACCGGCTAGCCTGCTCAGCTGACGCCTGGTACTCAGCGTCCGGAGACAGAAGCCCAGAACCCGGAGATTTAACGTGTGAAACCTGACCGTACCGTTTTCTCTCGTGGCTGTGAGGGAGAATATTCCTGTTTCATGTGAGCACTGGGGCCAGGGTCGACAGTTTAATGGGAGGCGGCTTGCTTTGGAGGAGTGGACATTGCGGGCGTCAGCTGAGAGGAAAGCGGAGGTCCTGGCTCCGTGTCGGGCTCAGATGGAGTCTCTGGCCGGGTACGTGTACAAGGCAGCCAGCGAGGGCCGAGTCCTGACCCTGGCCGCGCTGCTGCTCAACCACTCCGAGGCGGAGACCCAGTACCTGCTGAGCTATGTGACCCAGCTCGCCGGGCAGAGGTCCACCCCCCTGATCATCGCGGCCCGGAACGGACACGACAAAGTGGTCCGGCTCCTCCTGGACCACTACAGGGTGGACACGGAACAGACCGGCACGGTTCGTTTTGACGGGTAAGAGTTAAATTAATTAAATTCACCTCGTTCAAAAACGTATTTTCTCACTTTTACCCACACACATCATTAAATATTATTCAGGTATCCAGATACCTGAGATTTCTGGCTCCGCCCCTATACACTGGAAGTATCGAAGTTATTACACAATGATTAGTTGATTCATTGATTAGTCATTGAACAATGATTAATTGGCAATGACTTTGATAATCTAATTGTTTCAGTATTTTTCCGTACATCCCACATGTGAGAATAAAGTTTTGAGAGGAAATTAAATCTCTTTGTGTTTAGATTGTTGATTGGACTATTGAACTAATCTGAAACCACTGCGTTTCTCTCACAAGTTGTGGTTGTTGTTTTTTCACTAGTTTTTTAGACATTAAAATGAATAATCATTTAATTAAGAACATAATTAACAGAGTAAGTGGTAGTGAAAATAACAGTGCTGTAAAATCACACTTAAAGAATTCAACTTTCTAGAAACGGAGTCTCTGTTATTCTGGAACAGCCAACTCACTGGCAGCAAAGTTTATTGGAACTACTTTCTTCTGATGAAACTGTCTCTTTGGAAACTGCTGATAATAAAGGTCAGACGTGGACTTTAACCTTCAGATTATTTCCTTGATGAATCAATTCATCCAGAGAAAAATGCTTCTCACGCTTTTTTTAAAACCCAAGGTATTTTTCATGTTGCGTATTTTATCGGAACAAATGTTCATCGTCACCCTGATGTAAAACACAGAAGCAGAAAACCCTCACACCTGAGAAGCTGGAGACGGTGGATGTTTGTCAAGAATGACTTAGAGAATCAGTCAGTTTTCAAAATGCTTGAATAAAAAAATTAATTAAAAAAACTCCACTTCCAAAAACAATGTTTAATGTAGATGTTAAGTATCAAACCTTCATCACAACGATGTCCTAACTTGGATTGGAAAGTTCTGTTCACTGTGTTCTGTGGATTATCCAGAGTAATAAGAAAATATATTTGTTCATATTTAGATAATAACTTTTAAGGTTTAAACTGAAGGAAGCTGAGACCAGTCGTAGTTAGTTATTATAAAGATGTACTGGTATCTGTTGGTAATAGATCAAAACCCGTCACAGAACAGGACTGGATATGAAACCACCAGACCAACCTGACTCAAATGAGTTTGTCGCACAGACTCTAGAAAACTTATCAGTACCGATCAATCACTCTACTGATTAAAATCATGATTTTTAGTTCCCTTTTATATTTTACGTAAGCAAAGTTGTCCCTCAGCTGCTGCTCTGTCAGTATCAGTACGAGCATCAATGAAGATGTAAATGAGCCTCAGTGTGATGACAACAGCCTGTCGTTGTCGTCGGGTTGGGTCTCATTTACATTAAACGTGGGTGGGACAGTGAATTAAAATCCTCCTGACTGAAGACCAGCTCTGTGTTTATGTTTGAGCTTAAGTTGTTTATGAAGCATCAACACTGAAGCATCAGAAGCTGCAGTTCCTCTAATGACCTCTAGAGTCTGGCTCCAACAGTGAGTCAGTCCCCATAGACTCCCATGTTAAAATGTCCAACTTTACAGCAGAAATAAACAGCCTGGTATACTTAACACAGCTCCACTCATGCCTCTCCTCTTTGACCATGTTAGCCATTAGCTGGGAGTTAGGGGGCGGAGTCAGACACTGCCAAGATGGCGACGGTGGAACAGCTCACTCTGAGCTCCAGAAACCTGTTGGTAACGTTACAGAGGCGTTGTCCATCTTTATTTACAGTCTCTGTTGTTAACATAATTCAACCATGTGTTGAGATGCGTTCAGGTGCTTCGTATTTAGAGTCAGCTTGTGAAAACAGTCCTGTTTTTCTCGGGTGTTGGCGTTCTGATGGAGGTCACCTGAAATACATTTGTGTGTGGTTCTCTTGTCGTGGAGTTCTGACTTCCTGTCTCTGTTCTGCAGCTACGTCATTGACGGGGCCACAGCTCTGTGGTGTGCAGCTGGGGCGGGGCACTTTGAGGTGGTGCGCCTGCTGGTGAGTCACCGTGCCAACGTCAACCACACCACCATCACCAACTCCACCCCGCTGCGGGCGGCGTGCTTCGACGGACGCCTGGACATCGTGCGGTACCTGGTGGAACACAACGCCGACATCAGCATCACCAACAAGTATAACAACACCTGCCTGATGATCGCCGCCTACAAGGGCCACACGGACGTGGTCAAGTTCCTGCTGGAGCAGGGTGCCAACCCCAATGCTAAGGCGCACTGCGGCGCCACCGCGCTGCACTTCGCAGCGGAGGCGGGACATCTGGAGATTGTGAAAGAGCTGGTGCACTGCCAGGCGGCCATGGTGGTGAACGGACACGGTATGACGCCGCTGAAAGTCGCCGCAGAGAGCTGTAAGGCTGATGTGGTGGAGCTGCTGCTGGCGCACGCTGACTGCGACGCCGGCAGCCGCATCGAGGCCCTGGAGCTGCTGGGCGCTTCTTTCGCCAACGACCGCGAGAACTATGACATCCAGAAGACTTACCACTACCTGCACACGGCCATGACGGAGCGCTACCGCGACTCAGACAATGTCATCGCCAAAGACTTGCTGCCGCCCATCGAGGCCTATGGCGGGCGCAGCGAGTGCCGGACGCCGCAAGACCTAGAGGCGATCCGGGTGGACCGGGACGCTCTGCACATGGAGGGGCTGATGATCCGGGAGCGAATCCTTGGCTCGGACAATATTGACGTGTCACACCCTATCATCTACCGTGGCGCCGTTTATGCCGACAACATGGAGTTTGATCAGTGCATCAAACTGTGGCTTCACGCGCTGCGTCTGCGGCAGAAAGGAAACCGCAACACGCACAAGGACCTGCTGCGCTTCGCCCAGGTGTTCTCCCAGATGGTGCACCTGAAGGAGCAGGTGATGGCCTCGCCGGTGGAGCAGGTGCTGAGCTGCAGCGTGCTGGAGATCCAGCGCAGCATGGCTCGGGTGGATGCGGCGGCCGAGTCGGAGCTGCCGCAGGCCATGGACAATTACGAGTCGAACGTTTTCACCTTCCTGTACCTGGCGTGCATCTCCACCAAAACCACCTGCAGCGACGAGGAGCGCGCCCGCATCAACAAGCACATCTACGACCTAATCCAGCTGGACCCGCGCTCACGCGAGGGCTCCTCGCTGCTCCACCTCGCCATCAGCTCCACGACGCCCGTCGACGACTTCCACACCAACGACGTCTGCAGCTTCCCCAACGCGCAGGTCACCAAGCTGCTGCTGGACTGCGGCGCGCAGGTCAACGCCATCGACCACGAGGGCAACACCCCGCTGCACGTCATCGTCCAGTACAACCGGCCCATCAGCGACTTCCTCACGCTGCACGCCATCATCATCAACCTGGTGGAGGCCGGCGCGCACACGGACATGACCAACAAGCAGAAGAAGACGCCGCTGGACAAGAGCACCACGGGCGTGTCGGAGATCCTGCTGAAGACGCAGATGAAGATGAGCCTCAAGTGCCTGGCGGCGCGCGCCGTCCGCCAGCACCAGATCACCTACCGCAACCAGATCCCCAAAACGCTGGAGGAGTTCGTGGAGTTCCACTGAGCGAGGACGGACTCGCATCTTTTTAAAGAGTTTCTTATTGTTTTCTAACAGATCACACGGTGCTGAGGACGAGGACGAGGGTTCAGGACGAAACGTTTCTGAGCTGTTTTATAAAAAAAAAAAGAAAGAGTTGGTTGCTTTTTTTTCTATTATAAGTATTAACTGCTAAATACCAGCAGCCGCACTCGGCATCTGTCTGTCTGTCTGTCTGTCTGTCTGTCTGTCTGTCTGTCTGTCTGTCTGTCTGTCTGTCTGTCTGTCTGTCTGTCTCTCTCTCTCATGGCTGCTGCAGCTCTGAAGGTCGAGCGCAGACCAGCAGAGAGAGAGAGGACAGACGTCTCATCCCCGCGCTGCTTCTTGTTTTGCCTTATCGCCACGTTACAGAGAGAGAGAGACAGAGAGAGACAGAGAGAGACAGAGAGAGACAGAGAGAGAGACAGAGAGAGACAGAGAGAGAGAATGAATGAGAGTCTGTAGAGAAGCCGACAGACGACCTCCTGCTGTCCATGTATCACCTGTCACACATGATTTATTTTTAACATGAGAATCATCACTGGGTTTATTTTCACTGTAACAACAGGATCATCTGACGACTTCAGGTTCTAACTCTGTTTTAAATGGAGGTTATTTTGTTTTTTTTCTCTTGGCTTGTTTTACTGGAAGTCGACTATGTGGCCCAAAGTATGTGGACACCCCTGTACACAAACCTTCAGACTCTTAGTTCCACTGGAAGGAAATCTTAAATCAGTGGTTCCCTGTCCCTTTAAAAACGAAGCAATGTCTTCATGTGGCCCGTCATCACAGCTGTAATATGTCTGTAAAAGATGAATTTTAATCGTTTGTAAAAGTTGGAAAATGTCAAATTATCTAGAATTTAACAGGAAAGTCACATTGAGAAAAAAACAAGTTATTTTGCTCTCCTCCTGTAGATCATCTTGTGACCTCAGACTCAGACTGATGCTTTTAGCAGTTTGTTTTTTCAGTAAAAAGCCAAAGGATGAATTAACGGTGTGTTGGTGGTTTGAGGAGACGATTCAGAAACATGTTGAGTCTTCATGATGGAGCGATGTGGTTTTCACAGAACCAGGCACGTGTCCACATACTTTTGGCCAAATGGTCGACATGAACCAGATTCTCCCAGAACACGGTACCAACATGTGATTGATTGTCGGTAGATGCTCGTCCATGAGCTTTTATTTTGAAAAGTGAGGGAGGGGAAACCCCCGTTTACTATAATAATTATTAATATTGTGATTATTTTTATCTTTTAAATAAACGGTGAAGTCTGAGACGTGGAGGAAGATGTCACATGGTTCACAAGTCCTGGTCCTGGTCCTGGTCCTGGCCCTGGCTGCTGCATTTATTGATCAGTCAATGAGCTTATTTGTCTTCTGGTGGACGGTGACATGTTCGGACTGATTGCAAAATCCTGGAGCGTCACATCGACACAGACACGAGGGAGAGATCAACCCCAACGTCACAACTGAAGAATATTAAAACGAAAAGTCAAACTATTCTTTTAGATATTTATGATATTCATTATTTTAATGATCCATTCATCTGCACATCATTTGTTTTTAATAAGTGAATAATCTTTTAGTTTAAAAGTGAGTCCAGTCTGACTTCCTCCTGTTGCTCGTCCAAAATCCAAAGAGAAGAACTATTTTAAAAAGAAGCAAATCGTAAGATTTAGAAGCTGAACACGTGAATGTTTGTCATCTTTTATTGACGATGACTCGATCAACCAATCGATCAATCCACTACTTGTTTCAGCAGTAATTCTGCGGGTGCAGGTCCCCGCCCGAGGATTTGATGCTTGGACTGTTGAGTCAGAGAACTTGTGACGGAGATGAGACGACGGTGAGAGAATGATGAGCTGCGGCTTCGGGGTCAGTCACAGGTGAACTGATGATGCTGCAGGTCAGATCCACATCTGGGAACATCTGGATCGGTCTGTTTTCACTGCTTCACTCGTCACAGCTGGAGCTGCTGCAGCTGCTTCAGTCGGTTTGAGGATGAGTTTGCGTGCGTGTGCAGATTCAACACGTCGGATGATTACAAAGCCGAGGCTAATTTTTCATGCAGCGGGAAGAAACACATCCATATTTATTTCTTGTTTGTCCGTGAGGATCAAAGACTGCCTCATGGTTCCAGTCTGGACTCGAACACACGGGTCAGTGAACTGAAGGAAACGCTTCAGCGACTGTGACTCTGTAGAAACTTTGTAGACGCCAGATGAAGAAGTTTATTGTAGATACAGAGTGAATTATAACAGGGTCTAAGTCTCACCTCGGTCTCTGTTCACATCTTCTAACAATCAGGTGTTTGAAGAGTTCAAATTAAATCTGGTGCTGGACGCTGTGAAGTCAGACGGCGTCCATGTTTGTTTAGCATTTGTGTTCAGTGTCTGACTTTTCCAGCAGCTGCAGCGTGTGTGTGTGTGTTTTACTAACCATGTGACCGGGCGGTACAGGTGGCTTCTGCCTGGATGTTAAAGGGTGTGAGGTGATGATGATGATGATGATGATGTGCCATTCAGAATGCTAACTTTATTTTGAACTCATCATAGTTTTTATTTTACACAGCAGCAGGTTTGACTCTGACCAAAGATTCTCCTCATGTCGGGAAACTTTAAGAGACGCCAGCTGTCGTGTACTTCCTGCAGAATGGATGCTGTCAAATTAAAAGTCTGCATTCAGTGATGTTCTCCTGTTGTTTATGTTGATTATTACAGAAGTCAGTTGAAGGTTGTACAGAAGCTCAGTCCTGCCAGTAAAAGAAAATATATAAAGAAAAGTAAAAAAAGATGAAAAAAAAAATTCAATAGAGTGAGATAAAATGTAAAAATGAGATTTAAAAAGTCAAATTTTGAAACGAGAGAGCTCAAATTTATGAGATAAAAATAAAAAACTGTCAAATATATGAGACAAAAGATAAGTGACTTTTAATCTGATTTTGACCAAGTCAGAATTTTTAACTTCTCATAATTATAATATTAACTTCTTGCAACTGTCTCATCTCGGATGTGAATTAACCGAACTCTGACACAGAAGATCCAGAAGCTGCAGTTCCTCTAACGACCACTAGAGTCTGGCTCCAACAGTGAGTCAGTCCCCATAGACTCCCATGTTAAAATGTCCAACTTTACAGCAGAAATAAACATGTTTACAGCCTGGTACAAAAACTAATTTCCTCCTTCATTACACCTGTTTATATATCTCACCTGTTTATATAACTCACCTGTTTACATTTTATTAAGGACTACAGTTATGGAGGATTGAGGGCGTGGCCTCTTTGAGTGACGGTTGGATGCCGTTATAGTAGTTGGCTAGCTGTAGCAACTCACTGAGCTTCAGAAACCTGTGGGTGATGTCACGGAGGCGACGTCCATCTTTATCTACAGTCCTGAGCAAAGTGAGGCAGGTATGTGTATGTGCCAGTTTAAAGTTCCCGCCTTTTCAGAGAACATGAGTGTGTGAAGCCTGAGTGACTGAGGAGTTCAGGAATGTGTTTCCTGTTTCAGTGTTAAACCTGACCTGTGACTCCACAGTTTTCTTCCTTCTATTTAACTCTGGTTCATGTTACCGAAAAGATGATGAGTAAGAACTAAAGTTAAAATAATAAGTTTTATTAGAAAAACAAAATCAAAACAAAAATGAACTTGTTACGGCAGAAAAACCTTTTGTTTGATCACTTGTAGTTTGGTGACCTGATGTGACTCAAGTCCAGCTCCAAACACCTTCCACCTGCTGATCAGCCACAGGAAGTGGAAACACCTGTGCAGGTGTTCTGTGTTTCTGTCTCCTGCTGTGAGGAACATCTGAACTCTTCTTTAAGTGTTTATAAAGATATTTTCCAGATTCTTCACAAAGACCTGGATGAACTATAAAAGAACTCATATTTATAATTACAGTTTCACCCAACAGTGACATTTTATCAGTTGATATAAAACATCATTATAGCTTCTCTCACGCTGTTTTACTCTGTAGCTGCAACATCAAATGACTTTTACTTTTCATTCTGCTGCTTTTCACACATTTAAACTTCAGTGAAGTGAAGCAGAGACACCAGGCGTCCAAAGACTTAGTTTAATGTTAATGTTAAGGTAATGTTAATTTAATCAAATAAATGACAATGTTTGACGAGAAAAAGACTGAAAACCTCATGAATGAATATGAAGAACAACATCACACACGGCCTTTTACATCTCTAATGTTTATTCCTGTATGAACACAAATACTGAACATGTGAGACGAGTACATCCACAGGCAGAGCGGCAGTCTGAACAACAACAGCTTCATATCAAACAATAATGCCACTATCCTTATTATCATCCTCATTAATCATACACGAGTATATTTACAGTTCAAGTTTGACTTTATACAACAAAAGTGCATCAGCTATAAATTTGGAAATAATAAACAATATGTGTTTGTAAGTAGTATTAGTATAAAAGAAGGAAATGTAAAACCAGCCATCGTAGGTAGTCTTGTGTTGTCTCTTCTCTCTTTTTCATTTGCACTTCTCTCAGTTAGAGACACCAGCTGTGAGCAGCGTGACCGTCACGGTGAGGCGTCCGCTCTCATGTGGTCGGGCAGGTTTTCCCAGTTTGGCCACATGATCTGAAGCCGTTAGCGTGTGTGGGAGTTCAACGTGTCGAAGCTCCGAGTGAAACCGGCTCCAGGTCTCACTGTGAGACTCACCGCCACAACACGGCGGCGCAACAACCACATCTGTCCAGACACGACATGGAACCACACAGGACACACAGGTCAGCACCACGTCGTGTAGACGCCATTACTGGATAAAGATTAGAGGAAATAAAAAACAAATACACACACACACACACACACAGACTGAAGTGATGGAGGTGAAATGAAAAAGACGTTTGTGGGAAAAGAGGAAAACCTGAATCAGATCAGGATCAAAGGATCAGACGGACGACGTGTCTCACACAGTCTGGTTTGGTACAGTTGTTGTTGTTGCACCTGAACGCATCGTGTACCGGCTCCACAGAACCTAGACTCTCCATCAGGAGGCTCTGATGGACAAAACACATTAAATAATAATAATAATAAAAGCACAAAAAGTGAAGGAACCGTCCTACTAAAGTCTCATTTGTTGTTGTTCTCTTGTTGTTTTGTTTGTTGTATTTTTGGAATTGGAGTAAATTTTCTCTCTGTTTGTGTTTTGTCCTTCAGGGCCACCATACTGAAAATAAACAGAAGAATCAAACATGACTTGTTCTTCCAGATCATTAAATAACTCTGGAGGGTGGGGCTACTGACTGACTGACTGACTGACTGACTGACTGGAGCTGAAGCTGATTGGCTGGTTCATAAATAGGTTGTACAGTAAACAAACTGCGGACGTGTTTTGTTTTGCTGACTTGTCTAATATGTTTACGGCTGATTGACTGATTAGTCGTCGATGGCTGTGACTGGTTGAGCGATGGGGGGGGGGGGGGGGGGGGGGGGGGGGGGGGCATCAGGGTCCCTGAGTGACAGGTGAAGGCTTGTGATGCATTCAGGTGATCCTCGTCTCCGTGTAGACGCCTGAGTCGTGAGCGACCAGACTTTGTGGCTTCACGAGTCGACAGGGATCGACAGAACGCAGCATCGGCGACGCCCACACCTTATAGCTCCTCTGCTGCCTTCCCATTGGCTACTGGCTGCTCCTCCTCTTCCTGTCTCCTCCGTCTGTTGAAGAAGCCGAGCTGAGAAGAAACAACAACGTCAGATTAAAGACGGACAGACACTGACGGTTAAACAAGCAACTTATCAGACACCAAACAGACTGGATCCAAAGGTTATTATTCATTCATTCATTCATTCATTCATTCATTTATTTATATGACAAACATCAGTCTCTGTGGACTAAACCAGGCCAGTTTTAATATTAAACTAAACTATTAAAACTTCACCTTCACATTCACCAAAAATATCAAAATATCAACAATTAACATTTATAAAGTGACAATAAAGTTGTAAATATATTTAATTAGAACTGGCAAACTGGTCAAACTCTTAACTGTAATGCGTCAAAGTTGAATTACAGATAAATGTAACTGAGTTTAAATAGAAGTCAATGGTGAATGAACTTAAGTTACAGATTTCTACATTGGACATTTCCACTGTGAGAAATGAACAACAGATATTCAGTTAGAATTTGTCCCAGTTAAAATTCTATAATAGATTTGTTGTCTTTGAATTGTGAGTAGTTACCTTCCACAGGGCCAGGACCAGTAAGGCCAGTAGCAGCAGGCCTCCCAGTGAGCTTCCCAGTATGATCCAGACTGGGACGATGTAATCCTCGTCCTTCCTCAGCTCCAGGATTATCTGACGTCACAGAACACAAGATAGATAAAATAAATCTTAATGTCTCACCTCTGACCCTGTGACCCTGTGACCCTGTGACCTTTACAACATCATAAATGATCCGATGAGGAGGAAGTAAACAGAAGCGGTTCATCTTGGTCTCTATAAATAACCTTCATGACCTGAAATCACATCCTGAAAGCACAACGACATCAGCTCGATACACAGACAGACACAACAGAAAACACAATGAACAATAATCTCAATATTCCTCAACTCTGCAGGGAAATTAATAAATAAACCAAGAAGCATAAAACAGAGCTGTTGTTACTTTAAATATATTAAAAACAGAAGAATTTAAAGAGACAGTGATAAAGTGCTTCAAATAAAATACATTTTACAGATTTAGAGCAAATCTGAAACAAGAGACACAGAAAAACTACATTAAAAATAAATGATGGCATCAAAAAGCAGCAGCAGTAATTGAGATGTTAATTATTAGTTACTGCAGGAATGACTGACTGGAATCCTCCTGACAGGTTCATGCCGGTTAATGACTGTAATACTGATTTCTGACAGCAGAGGGCAGCAGAGCTCCACATCTGTCTGCTCAGTCTTCTATTGGAAGCTTGATTTATAACATGATAACATATCATGACGCCACACTCCCACTGACAGCTTGTGTTATTGTTTTAATATTTTGACTTATTGAGCAGGAGAGAGAAAAGAAGAAGAAGAAAAGAAGGAAAAGAAGGAGAACAAACAACAAAAAACACATTTTCTGTTTTACTTTTTTCTTCCTTTCCCCTCCTCGTCTTAGGGTCCGCTGGGTTTTATAGTTTGGGTAGTTCTTTATAATAATCAAGTAAAGTCAATAAATATAAATAGATGTAAATTAAACGACCCCTCCCACTCAGAGCGGTGCAGATGTGTCAGGAGGAGGAGGGAGCCACACCTGAAGCCACTTCTCCTGATTGTCATATAAAAGGAATCAGCTCTCTCAGGTGAGCTGTGGTTCCTGTCTCATGATCCACACGTCACAACTCATTAACTATATCATTAACTCGCAACCTTGATATTTGATATTTGAGTTCACGGTTCACGACAGTCACCTGCTCATTAGTCGGTTTTGTTGTGTGTTTTTAGTGTATTTACATTTGTGTCCTTCCATCGTGATCATCACACATTCATCTTGTAGTCGATGCAACCCTGGGAATGTTTGTGTTGAACAGAAACCTGTGTGGTCTACCTGTCTGACCGGTCTGTCCTCCTGGAGGAACATGGGACTGGATGCGTCCAGCTGGATGGAGGCAGCGGTCAGTAGCTCCAGAGACCTGAAGCTCACCTGAAACAGTGATACAGAAACACTGTGAACGTATGGACCACGGCTTCACGTAAGACCACGGGAAAAAAGACATGAAGCACTTGTGGTTCCTGACAAGAGACAAACATCCAGAGCTTCTTCAAGGAACCTCTGAGTTCCCCACAAACTGTTCTAACGATGCGACCGATCGGTGAATGTTTTAATATTTAAAATGGTAAGAAAACTTTATATTTTCAGTATTTTGACTCCAGTTTTTATTCAGTGGTTCTGTGTCGACTCACAGCGAGCAGAGCGGGAAGCTGAAGTCTTCCTCTGAGCGTCACCTTCACCTCTCTGGAGGCCGGCAGGTTCAGTCTGCACTGGACCGCCATGCTCACACTGTTACTGTGGTTCTACACACACACACACACACACACACACACACACACACACACACACACACACACACACACACACACACACACACAGGCTTTAACACAGACTGGTCCCTGGATGTTTCTTGGACCTCCTGACTCTGGCTCTGTGTGAGACGCTGTCGGTCTTACCAGCTGTGACAGTTGAGTCAGGTCCTCAGCTGTCACCTGATTGGTTGTTCTGAGTGGAGGCAGCATACAGTGGGACCCTGCTACCTGCTGAGAGGAAGAGGCCTGTGTAAACTGATGTGACTCTTCCTGTCAGCACCACACATCCATAAATCATCTTCGTATTGATGTAGTTTTAAACACTACATTTTTGGTTTATATTTTATTTTTCTTGTCAGAAACAAGACACTTTCCCAACAGTTATCACAAAGGTTCATTCATTTCCTGTGTTACCTGTTCGATGCTGTAGTCTGTGATGTTCACCAGCTGGTTGCCCTTCGCGGTCAGGGCCCAGATATCGGCTCTGAACAGGAGATCGTGCACTGAGAAGATGCCCAGGTTCTGGATCTGCATGTCGAGAGTAAAGGAACAGAATGAAAACAGGATTAGAAAACTGTGTCTCTGCAGTTATACTGTTAGAAAGTGTCTATATACAAAGGTCTGCCATCTTTATGTGGAGGTCTGTATAAGGATGTCTGTCTGTCTGTCTGTCTGTCTGTCTGCAGAGGTCTGTCTGTCTGTCTGTAGAGGTCTGTCTGTCTGTCTGCAGAGGTCTGTCTGTCTGTCTGCAGATGTCTGTCTGTCTGTCTGCAAAGGTCTGTCTGTATGTCTGTATGCAGAGGTCTGTCTGTCTGTCTGCAGAGGTCTGTCTGTCTGTCTGCAGAGGTCTGTCTGTCTGTATGCAGAGGTCTGTCTGTCTGTCTGCAGAGGTCTGTCTGTCTGTCTGTCTGTCTGTCTGTCTGTCTGTCTGCAGAGGTCTGTCTGTCTGTCTCTCTGTCTGTCTGTCTGTCTGTCTGCAGAGGTCTGTCTGTCTGTCTGTCTGCAGAGGTCTGTCTGTCTGTCTGCAGAGGTCTGTCTGTCTGTCTGCAGAGGTCTGTCTGTCTGTCTGCAGAGGTCTGTCTGTCTGTCTGCAGAGGTCTGTCTGTCTGTCTGTCTGCAGAGGTCTGTCTGTCTGTCTGCAGAGGTCTGTCTGTATGTATGCAGAGGTCTGTCTGTCTGTCTGTCTGCAGAGGTCTGCTGACCGTACATAATTTGTCAGTGAGACTGTACTTCCTGTAACTGTCCTGCACTTGGTGAACAAAGTGACTCTGTTTGTGTAACTCACGTTATAAGTGAGGTTGAAGGTGGGTGAGTTGTTGTCTGGCTGGTCCCAGGATGAAGAGGAGGAAGAGGAAGAGTCTGCTTTGATTTCAAAACGAGGAGGGTTAGGGTCTCTGTCAGGAGAGCAGAGGAGGAAAAAGAGTTTAACATGTGTGTGTACAGTGTAAACTGATTTTTGGTCATAATCTATTTGTAGAACAGTTTGACCAGAAGGATCAGTGAAATTAAACTGATGTAGTGACATCAGAGTCAGTCACCTGGTGAAGAGGAGGTCGGTTTGGTATTTCAGAGGCAGGAGGATGTCACTGAGGTTGTCATCTGGAAATCCGTCTTCACCCTCACTGGTTAACACACAAACACACACAGGTGAGAACACTGTGCTGACTTAACGCTACAAGACAGCTTTCCCCGAGTCCATCAGTCCTTCAGAGATTCTGTAGCACAACAGGAAGTGTGACACCTTCCCCAGGCCCCAACTCTGACCTAAACCCAACCCTTACCTGAATCTTCACATACCTCTGACCCTGTCTCAACCCTGAAACAGACCAGATTTAAGGGTAAAAGCTGAGACAAGGCAGACCTCATTTTCAAAATATTCTTGGTTTGAAAAAGGCAGTTGGACAAAGATTTGCTTTAAAAAATTACACCAAAATTATGAGCAGTGAGTTAACGTTAGCATTAAAAATTCTATTCTGATAGAATTTTTGAATTGTCATCATTAAATTTTAGGACATCCAGCGTTTAGTAATTTAATATCAGTGAGGCAGGGAGGTAGATTAGCTAAACTGTGTTGGACTTAAGTGGAACATACTGTAGAACATCATGGTTCTGTATGACCTGACTAAGAAGCAGCATCTATATTGAAAACGATAGTGGTCCCAGAATGGACCCTGGGGGAACGCCACATTTACAATACACTACATCTGACCACTAGTGGCACCGTGGAGCGACGTTTTTACACACAAGTTCATGAGATCTCAAGGACACACAACAGAGAAACACAAACTCTGTTTACTAGAAAACAAGCGTGGCATCAACCTCACCTGGTGGCGTCCATGAAGACCCGGATGTGATCCAGGAAGACGGAGCGGCTGAACTCAAACTCCACATGGAAAGACACCTGGAGGGGAGAGACACAGCTCTGAGGTCAGTGACAGGACAGAAGAAAAACTTCTGTTCAAGCTGCTGCTTTACAGCTGAGCCTCATCAGTTTGAATGTTTTTTGGTCTCTGATGTCTCTGACGGTCTCTGTTAGTCTCTGATGGTCTCTGTTGTCTCTGATGGTCTCTGTTAGTCTCTGTTGTCTCTGATGGTCTCTGTTGTCTCTGATGGTCTCTGTTAGTCTCTGATGGTCTCTGTTAGTCTCTGTTGTCTCTGTTAGTCTCTGTTGTCTCTGATGGTCTCTGACGGTCTCTGTTGTCTCTGTTAGTCTCTGATGGTCTCTGATGGTCTCTGTTAGTCTCTGTTGGTCTCTGACGGTCTCTGTTGGTCTCTGTTGTCTCTGTTGGTCTCTGATGGTCTCTGTTAGTCTCTGTTGGTCTCTGACGGTCTCTGTTGTCTCTGTTGGTCTCTGATGGTCTCTGTTAGTCTCTGTTAGTCTCTGATGGTCTCTGTTAGTCTCTGTTAGTCTCTGTTAGTCTCTGTTAGTCTCTGTTAGTCTCTGTTGGTCTCTGTTGGTCTCTGTTAGTCTCTGTTAGTCTCTGATGGTCTCTGTTGTCTCTGTTGGTCTCTGATGGTCTCTGTTAGTCTCTGATGGTCTCTGTTGGTCTCTGATGGTCTCTGTTGGTCTCTGTTGGTCTCTGTTAGTCTCTGTTAGTCTCTGATGGTCTCTGTTGTCTCTGTTGGTCTCTGATGGTCTCTGTTAGTCTCTGATGGTCTCTGTTGGTCTCTGATGGTCTCTGTTGGTCTCTGTTGGTCTCTGTTAGTCTCTGTTAGTCTCTGAAGCTGAGCCTGGTCTCTCCCTCCGGCTGCGTCTCACCTGTTCCAGCAGCCGGAGCCTTGTTAACAGGAAACCCACAATAATCTGCGCCACAGTTTGGACCAATAAACCGGACTTTATTCAGAGAGGCATCTGTGGAGTGGGGGCCCTCGGGGGCCTCGTGGTGAAGGGCTGGGCCGTGATCATGTTTACAGGGACGGTCATTAGTCTAATGAAGGATCTCGGTCAGTGGAAACATATTCCTGCTCCGGTTAATCACTATCATTAGTCCAACAGCTGTTTGACTGCAGCCACGTCTCATTCACTCTTTATTACCTGAGAGGTCTGATGAACTGATTTCATGAAAGGTTCATATCCTGATTAAAATCACTCAGTCATTGTTTACTTTGAGTGGCCAGTTTATTAGGTACACCTCGCTACAGCTGTTGCCTTTAAGTTGAATGAATGAGTTTGTGTTTTTAACATTAGAGGTGAAGTACGACAAATACAGTTTGTGTTGAAGTGGTTCAGATTGTGACAACACTTTCTATATCACTACAAAAAGGACATTTCCACAGACTTGTTTTCTCTAAAACGTTCAGGAGAAACAAACAGAGAAATCCAGCTTTTTTTTTTGTTTCACTTAAACAATAATTATGATTATTTTTTCACATTTGACATGTGAGCTGCAACGTGTCACGAGGATGAACCGATGAATCCAGGGAGTCGGTGACGATCGATGCATCACAGCTTTAGTTATTATTATTATTATTATTATTATTATTAGTGGTGGTAGTAGTAGTAGTGGTAATAGTAGTGGTAGTAGTAGTAGTGGTAGTAGTAGTTGTAGTAGTAGTAGTAGTAGTAGTGGTAGTAGTAGTAGTGGTAGTAGTAGTTGTAGTAGTAGTAGTAGTAGTAGTAGTAGTAGTAGTGGTAGTAGTAGTAGTGATGGTAGTAGTAGTAGTGGTAGTAGTAGTTGTAGTAGTAGTAATAGTAGTAGTAGTAGTAGTGGTAGTGGTGGTAGTAGTAGTAGAAGTGGTAGTAGTATTAGTAGTAGTATTATTGTCGTGTTTTAAAGTGAATTCAAAGTAGAATAAATGAAGTAAATGTATTTTCTTGCAGTTCATCCAGCACATTCACAATAATAAAGTGAAATGTCAGATGTTACGGCTCAGACTGTAAAAGACTCGCCCACACCCTCTGTCTCCTCAGATTAAACAGCTGTCCAGCTGTTAGTCTTCTGTCTAACTCCTGCCCTCACTTTCTGGGCGGTTTTGATGTTGCACCAAGCAGAAAGAAAATGAGAGTTTACACAGTAGAAGACAGTGGTATATAAACAGGTTATTGGGTACGTTAGCAGTTAGCAGTTAGCAGTGTGTCAGTGGTACAGGTGTACGATCCTTGTGGTCTGGTTGTATTCAGGTACACATCACCTACCTGGGACAAGGACTTCATGAATGGAGCGCTGATGTTACAGAACCTTTGAGTGGCCAGTCTGTCCTCAGAGGAGCATTCGATCTGAATGTCTGATTGGTCCTGCGGGGAAGGGGGAGGAGCATGATGAGTCATAGAGCCACCGCAAAACTTCACTTCCCCAAAACACTTCAGTTTATCAGCCTCAAGGTCTTTTAATAACCGGGACCATTCGAAAATAAAGGGTTTTTATTAAAATGTGAATGATTGTGTTAAAGATTCATGATGGTCTATATATAAGTAGAACCATTTTTCTACTGTGTTCTCGTCTCTGCCACGTGACAGATATGAGAGAAAAGCCAGAGTTCGATGCAGCTCGGATTCTTTTACTTTTATGAAAATGGTTTCAGAAAGTGGAGGACTCCACCTTGACGATGAGGCTGGAGAAGATCAGGTTGGAGGAGGTGGAGATGTGGATGGCGGCTCCGTACGCGTTCTCTCCCTCGTTCACCAATTGAGAGAACATGACGAGCCTCCTCCGCCCGGACTCCACCACGAACGCCGAGCGCAGCGACGCCCCCTGCTGGCCGCAGAGAGACCAGGTCGCCCGGTCCCTCGAGCTGCAGAACTGCCTTCAGGTGAAACACAGAAACTACAATCTGAGTCTGTCGACACCTGGTGACACGTGTTGATGAAGAGCAGGCGTCACTCACTGAACGTCCATGAGGTCGGTGCGACTGTGGAGGACGAGGTCGGGAACGCAGACGTCCTCCTGCTCGCAGCCGTTCCAGAAGGGAAGCTACAGCAGGAAACAGGGATTAATACATTTCTCTTTAAGGTGGAAACAGAAACACTTTGTTATGACCAAAGTTACTGAGGTTCATCTTCAGGGGAACATGAACGTCTGAACCAGAGTCCATCACAATCACTCCAGGAGTTATTGAGATGTTTCACTCAGAGCCATAAATGTCAACTTCATGATGGTGCTCTGGGAAACATCAATAGGATTCATCCTCAGGGGATCATGAATATCTGCCGCACAGTTGTTGAGACATTTCAACCTGGATCAAAATGGCGGACCAAGAGACATTAAAGTCTCTGCAACATGACAGCATGGTCATTCTCTGCTGATACAGTGACGTGAGCACCATCAGCTGCTCCACCCTCCTCCTCGTGAGCTCAACACTGACACACACGTGACATCACCTGGATGTAAACACCTGGTCGAGCTCACCTCGGCCCTCATGATGCTCGGCCAGTCGGGGTCCAACACCGGCCCCTCGTCCGGGTTCTGCATCCCCGTCTCCAGGACAACCGTGATGGGACGTCCGTAATCTGTCGTCTCCTGTTCAGGGAAAACGTTCAGCCGCAGTTTGAGTGACGGTGTGTGTGTGTGTGTGTGTGTGTGTGTGTGTGTGTGTGTGTGTGTGTGTGTGTGAGACCATCCTGACCTGGACAGAGAACCCGAGGCGTTGGCAGCTCTGACCTCCGGCCTGCAGAGACAGACTCCTGGGTTGCTGTCGATCTGATTCGTCCAGAACAGCTCGTGGGGGGAAACGCCTCTCGTCCAACACCAGGCTGAACCACACAGCTGGAGGAGGAAGAGGAGGAGGAGGAGGAAGAGGAAGGTTTAAAAGAGGTTACCCAGTCCAGTCTTATCCAGCTCACATGCAGCTTGATCAGACTGTAAATACATAGAGAGACTTTACAGGTCTTTCAGGTGATATGAAACAGTGACGTCACCTCATGTTCTCATTAGTACAAACTGCACTTACATGTCTCCAAATGTTTTATGGGAAAAGTTGGCAAAATAAAACACGAATCAGTAAATGTTTCCATAGACTATTGTCCTGTATGGCACCAGTGACATTAATATATTCTTATTCTCTGCGTCCAACTTTGCATCTATATATTTTAATGAGTGGATTTTATCCCACAGTGTTTTATTCGATGAAAACTAGTTGAGCTGAAGTCACATAGTAATCTATGTGTTTTTATTTTCCAAACTACAGAGCAGTCTATAATAAAACACAGGGGTAAAACATCGCTCTTTATATTCTTTACTGGTAGATCAGTCCCACACAGTGGAGGCCTGGACTGGGAACCAGCAGCGACACATGAAGCTGCTGAAGAGGAAACTCATACAGAGAGTAAGTGCGAAAAAACAGTCTGACGTGGAAAAGTTGTGTGGATAAAAATCAGAAACAGAGCGAGTGAATGAATGAATCCAGACTCCACAACCAGCCAGAAGGAGTTGGTGTCGTGACAACATCCATCACTGGCTTCCCACCCAGGAACAACTGGTCATTTGTGTTCAATGGTGCACAGTTAACGGTTAATCTGGCACATGCTAACAGGTAGCGCCAATATAAAGCTAACCAGGGGGAAGGAGAAGGAGCACTTTACGCTTTTGTTGCCCCCAGGAAGTGTGGAGGTTTGAATGAGATTGAATGAGAGATTGGTGGTGACATGAAGGCGAGGGGACGTCCACGTCAAGACGGAGAGACGGTTGAGGAACAGTCAAAGAGGAGACAATGCTCATTAGCTAACATTAGCTTTGCCATTGTTTATGCTAATGCTTGTGGTAGCTAACCCCAGTAGGTATCAGTGTCACATCTGTGTGTAGCGTTAAATTACTTCCTGGTTTGCTGAGATAACACTGTTGTTGTGATGTTAGCTCTGGGAAACCGTCTCATCCTCTCTGCATGTTAGCTTAGCAGCAGCAACTGTAGCCACAGTTAGCGATCTCATTGTTTTTCTCTGTACAACGAGGGACAGGTTTTAATAATTTACCAACTCTCTGCAGTTTGAAGCAGTTCATGGCAGATCAGTAACTTCAGCTGAGTCCATTTGAAAAATCAAATTCACACGCCACCAAACAAACCGTCCTCAGTCGTGTTCCTAATGACTTTTTTAACAGGATAACTTCTTCTTTGTTTTGATAATGGAGCGCTGCATTTCCTGCTTCCTCGTGAGCTGTGGAGTGTAACCGCAGAGCTCATCTGTTTAACAACTGAAGCTGGGTTTTGATTTATGAGTGCACAGAGAGCTGAGGTAAGCTGCTTCAGTCCAGAGTCCGGTTCATATTCAGAACGCCACGTCTGCAGCGTGTCAGAGGAACCGGAGCTAAACCTTAAAAAAAGGTTCAGGTTTTATAAACCGTGGCTCCTGAAACACTGGAGCATGTTTGTTTGATGTCACGTGTGTGTGTGTGTGTGTGTGTGTGTGTGTGTGTGTGTGTGTGTGTGTGTGTGTGTAATCCAGTACCAGATGGGTGGGGGGGGGTGATGGAGAGAAAGAGGAGAGGAGGAGTGACACGGTGGCTGGCTGGTGTTAGCATGTTAGCGAGGTTTCCATGCAGCCGGCCCGGCACATCTGCAGCCAATTACACAGAGACACGACAACAGCTTCACAAAACACTGCAGCGAGGAACAGACCACGACACCACTCTCCGCACACAGGCGGTCAAACATCAGCAAACATCTGGATGATCCTGATGCTGAATGTCCACACAGCTGGAGGAGCGGACAGATGTTACAGTTTGTAGGATTCAAATTCATCCAGACGAAGGTCAAGCATTCAACCTGCAACCACAAACTGCTGCTGAGCAGCGTGGACGTTAGCGCTTTGCTCAAAGACCGAATCTCTTCTTTTCATCCCAGATTGTCACATGTTTAGAAATAAACTTTTGTCCATCATGGAAGTTTTCACAACAGGTTCGGTTCTCTGTGTTTTTTTTTTTTTTGTATCCGCCAAAAGTAATCCAGGCAAAAGGAAGCTGCTGATCTGACTTCAGGCACACTCGCACTGAGCCAAGGATATAGTTCAAATCCCTTTATTGTGTGAGGAGCATCTCAGAGTGAAATTCAAAACAAAAAATCACCAAAAAAGGTAAAAGGAAGTTTTGTAACAAAAAAATCTTCTGTTCTGTGCATCCTGTTCTTTTTGGTGATTTTCTTTGCCCCCATAAAAGGTGTTTTACTCCCTTTTTGGTGATTTCTTCTCAGCTAAAAGGGAGTTTTAAACAAAAAACCTTTTTGTGTGCATGCATGGACGAGGCAACGAGGCAGCTCAGGAACACTGAAGCATCCTCACTGCTTGATGACTCTATTTTGTCTGTATTGAAAATAAAATACAACGGACTCGGTGTCATCTCGTGAACTTTGTTCCTCCGGCACAAATTAGGTTTGACTCTGAGTCCGGTGTCGGACCCGACTTCTTCACTGATGTCGTGAACTGTCGTTGATGTTTGCGGAGGAAGTGAATAGCAGTGACTGGGTGAGGCTCCACGTGAGAATGAGGCCACATGACAGGATGAACTCACTGAGGACCAACAATGAGCTGTTACACATTACTGACACCATGTTCCTGTTCTCTCGGCGGATCGTCCACTAATCACAGGGTTCATGGTTCAATCCCTGACTGTCCTTGAGCAAGAAACCCAACCCCCTGATGCCCCTGATGGTCAGACCAGCACCTCACAGGGTGGGTCACATGGAGCCACACATGGAGCCTACCTGTCCTGGTCTTTGTCCTGGTCTTGGTCCTGGAATCCAGACTCAGACAGACGGAAACGGACATGCAGGTGACCTCCTTCCCTCCTCGCCAACAGTCCTTGTTGAAGATGTTGACTTTCTCGGGTTCAAAGGTCAGTTTGGCCTGAATCCGCACCACACCCCGAGACCTGGAGGGAGCGGGCATGGAGTCAGTGCTTTGAGCTAAATGCTAAATTCTGCATGCTAACATGCTCTCACTGACAATCCATGTTTAGCTTTACCATATTCACCATCTTATATTAGCATGTTAGCATGCTAATATTTGCTAATTAGCTATTAAGTGCGTGTGTCTGTGTGTGATGGTCGGACCAGATGATGACGGCAGCTCCCAGCGCTCCCACCGTGAGGTCGACCAGCCCGTCTGCGTTGACGTCCAAGACCCCGTGAAGACTTTGTCCGAAATACTTCAGACCTGCGGAGAAACCGGCAGCAGAGATTCGCTGCAGAGACACAGACAGATAATTAACACATGATTAATTATTCATGTTTCCTGCTGAGATTCTTTTGATTCGTCCGAACCGGCTCGTCATGCGTCACCTGTCTGTACTGATGCTGGATGGTTTTGTCCTGGCCATAAAACACGTACACCGCCCCCTGGTGGTCGTCCTCCAGCGGCGCTCCGACCACGAGCTCCCTGAATCCGTCTCCGTTCATGTCGGGGATCTGGGTCAGCGCCGAACCCAGACGGGAGTTCTGAGAGCGGTCAGATATCTGCAGCGCCCCCTGCAGGACTAAAGAGGCCTGGGGGGAGGAGGAGCAGGGTGAGAGCAGTGTTTTATGCCTCTGCATCAGGAACAGTCAAAGCCAGAGGCATGGTGGTCAAAGGTCAAAGGTCAAGGTGGTGGGGACCTTGTGAATGTAATATCTCAGTAACACGTTGAAGGAACTTCTTCAAATTTGGTAGAAACGTTCACCTGGACTCAAGGAGAAACTGATTAGATTTTGGTGGCTAAAGGTCAAAGGTCACAGTGACTTTAAAATTGCATCTTTGTCCTTCAGACCACAATATCTCTGTAACACCTTTAAGGAATCCCTTCACATTTGGCACAAACATTCACTTGGACTCAAGGATGAAGAGATTAAATTGTGGTGGTAAAAGGTCAAAGGTCAAGGTTACGGTGACTTCACAAAAAGTTGCAGACAGCCAAATAGAGTGAAGGACCTTGGACTTCGGAGGCAGCTAAACAATCTTAGGGTTAAACTTGTGACAGTGTGTATTCACCTGTGATGTGACAGAGTAGATGTAAACCTTCCCTCTCTCCCAGCCCTGACTGTAGTACATGGGCGCCGCCACCAGGAGAATGTCAGTCTGTCCGTCTCCGTCTACGTCCATCGATAATAACTCACTGCCGAAATACGAGCCGATCTGGAGGAGAACACACAAGGGCGTGGCCTCTTTGAGTGACAGGTGGGTGAGCGAGGACTCTTCATATTTGGACATTTGTTTAATTTCCTGTTTTTATTTTGAAGTAGACTTCCTTGTACTTTCTTTGTCCTGTTTCCCTCCTTGTTGATCGTCTGTCCCGCCCTGATGTGTTACACCTGTGTTCAATCACCCTTCGCCTCCTTTGTGTATTTAAGTCTCTGTCTTTGTCGGTTCGTCTGTTTTTGTTCCAGCCATGTTTCCTCTGTGTCTCCTCAAGCTTCCGCTTTGTGTTTCTGAGTTTTACCTGGATTCCAAATTATTTCTAATTCTGTTTTGCAAGTTGGTTTTCATTATTAAATTACATTTTTTTTCCCACCAAACCTCCTTTGTTTATCTGCATTTGGGTCCTTAACACTTCTAAACCTGACAGCGTTTTCTGACCTCAGGGAGGTCAGTGACTCGGCCACACTGAGATGCTGCAGATACAGTTTCTTGTGTGTGCACACTGGTTTTGTTTCAGTAAAAGAACGCAACACTAAATGGTTCCCATTTGTATAAAATGGACGTAAGAGCAGAACCATGTTGCATAAAACTGTATCATTCAACACCCACAGCACACTCCCAATGTACCATAGAAGAAGAAGTGTAGTTATGTTATCATGGTTCAGAAAACGGTTCCTATCACCAGTGTTTGCCCAAAAATGACAGAGACTTAATGTAAATATTTTAATCTGCCTGTGTTTCTGTAAACCAGACAGTGGGTGGTCCTGGTTTTACTGAGAGCCCGTTGCCAGGGGAACAGCTGGGATCATCACGGAGAAAGCCATGTGTCCTACACGTGTGGATACATACAAAGGAATAACAATGTACATGTTTGTACATAGGTGTGTGTGTGTGTGTGTGTGTGTGTGTGTGACCTGTTCTCCCAGCAGAGCCTGCAGGATGGTCAGGTTTCCGTTGTTCTTCAGGGTGAAGACGATGACCTTTCCTGTGTGGTTGAACCTCGGAGCTCCGGCCACGTAGAGCTGAGAGCCGCGAGAGGAAATGAGTGACCCGACAGAGTAACCTGGAACCAGAGAGGACAGGGAAACAGATCGTCATGGCGACTGTGAGTTATGGTCTGCAGAGGATGAACCCAGATTATTTTGATGATCCTCAGACCTTTCCTGTAGCACCACAGTTCACACTTGTAGACGAGAACATCTAAATCAGATCCCCTACATCATCACTGAATTAACTGAACACATTCATGTTCTCAAGAGGATCAACCTTTTTGATTTTAATGTCTTTCATGTGGTGCTTGTTAAAACCTGATGATCATCCTTGTGTTATTTGGTCTGTCGGGTGTCAGGTGTTGAGTAATGACCACTGCAGCCTACAGGGGGCAGTAGCACTTCAGTGTAAAGCGAGAGATAGACGTTTTAAACTTTTAAAGCTGAAAGCAGCGTCGACTAATCCATCAAATGATTGATGATTGTCATTCAAAGGGTTACTTCCTGTTTTGAGCAGGTGTGGCTACGACCATGACGTCATATTAGCATGCAGGTGTCTTCAGTGTGGGACTGTCATGAAGTTTGGAGCGGATGTATATTTGAGCTACAACAACTTCCTGTTTCATGGCGAAACATCGAAATTCGCCGCGCCGCCACAGGCATCCCCTGATGAAAACTCAAAAGCTTTACAACTGAGCATCACAAAGGTCTTAAGATGAGACTCAACTAATATGATGTGGATCTGATTAATTCTCTAGGAGGAGTTCTTTAAAGTATGAGGCCCTTAATTTTGCAAAAATGGTGCCAGTAAATTCAAAATGGCTGACTTCCTGTGGAGTGTAGGTCTTGCGTTGTTACATGTGCATACTAACTTTCACACATAAAACATGTAAATCTTCATGAAAGCTTCATGAGTTTTTGAGCATGTTTCGATCTCAAACTGATTTTCATTCAGGAATAATAATAAACCGAACAATTCAAACCCTAAAAACAAGAATGGACATGAATAAAGTTCAGGTGCTATCATTTTACCCAGGTAGGCTCCGTGGTTCTTCAGCTCCTCTGGGAACTCGTCCTTATACGAGGACTTTGGAGGAACAATTTTTCCGTGTTTAGTTTCTTTCAGCACGGCTCCGTTCCAGTCGTAGGCGCCGACCGCCCCGAGCAGAACGCCATCCTGGAGTAAAGACATTAGTTTATATGGAGATCAGTGTATTTATTTATTTTGTATTTTGATCATTGCACAACAGCAGGAGCAGGACAGCTGTAATGATGAGTGTCCATCAGTCGAGTCACTGACACTTCTGCAATACGTTATTCCTGCTCCAGGTTCCTGTGGTTACCAGGATGACTGGACATGGTTTTCCATCATGCAGTTTGAGTAACAGCACAGTTCCCACGCAGTTTTTACTGCTGTATTTCCTTCAGTAGAAGAAAGAGAAGTCTGGAGTCTGACTGTCATGGTGGATTTATATGCCTCTTAACGTCAGCTGCACACGTTCACACTGACTTATTATAAATGAGCCAAGAGGAAATATGAAGTCAGGTGGACTGACAGGTAACGGCATCATCAGCTTTATATGGAGCCACAGAGGAAGATCAGTCATTGAGACTGAGAGCAGGTCACTGAACCTGATGTGTTTATTGACCTGATCTGAGTTCAACCTACAGCTGAGTGATGGGGGCGGTCCACGTCTTTTATGTCCAGGACAAACGATGAACCAGACTAAAGGTTTGGTGACAAATCGTCCTGAGTTTGATCTTCCAGGTCCAAATGAAGTCACAGGACATTGGAGTTAAAGTCAAATGACTCTTTCTCTCAGTGACAGCTCCTGGCTGAGTGCTGGTCTCCCTCTCCTGCTGCAGACCTCTTGTCTCTGCCCAGAGACCATGTCCTCAGGAGGGAGGGGGGTGGGAACAAAGAAAAACTTGTTGGTGATTTTGAAAATAATCACTTAACAGATACTGACACAAGCTTCAGTGTCGTCCTTAAAGTCAGTCGAGTCCTCTTCCAACACGTGTGTGTGCAGTCAGTGACACACTCGCATGAACTCTGACGGTCGTAAAGTCCAGATATGAAAGTTATTAAAGCGTTGAGTCATCGTCTCTACGGGCCAATGAGGCGAGGACCACAGTGAATGACCAAATCCTTGGCGACAACGGCGCCACAAAGCATCCTGCCTGCAGGATGTGAGCTGCACGGACTCTGGACTGAGTCTGGACCTGCAGATCCACTTGTAAAGGTTAAAGGTTAAAGGTCAAAGGCTGTGATCCTGCAGGAGCAGAGGAGGATGGACACTGTGTCTCTGTTTCCCACATCAGTATGAAGGAGACATGATTCACATTTTTACCTTTTAATCCTGAACCTGAAGAGCAGGAAACCCTTGCATATATTGTTAATGAATTCAAGTGTGTGTGTGTGTGTGTGTGTGTGTGTGTGTGTGTGTGTGTGTGTGTGTGTGTGTGTGTGTGTGTGTGTGTGTGTGTGTGAGAGGGTTTTGTTGGCAGCTCCACGTTCAGGAAAACCATCTGCTCTGTGTTACACATAGAAAGTTTCCACGACACCATCTTCACTCCCTGACACTGGAATTCAGTCGAGTGCGATTTTTCCCTGGACAAGAAACAATAGAAATATTTCTAGAAGCTTCTCATGCTGCAGTTTTAGTCGTCTTTCAAAACCAGAACCAGAACCAAAGCGATACTTAATGTTTGAGAATTTGATCTTTTGTCTGAATCCATAAAATACAAAACTGTGTCCTGTCTTCTGTTGATTTTTTGGACGGTGATTTGCTGGAGGAAACTGAACGGACCTCTGAAACCTGAAGCTGCCAGGTCCCTAATTTCTACAAATAAAAGTGTAGATGATGTTTTCCAGAAGTAATTTGAGGAAAATTATTATCATCCTTCATACCATTCAGTTCTGGGGGCAGTATGATTAAATCCACACACAGGAAATGACCAATCCAAAACCTGAGAGTCAAATTCAAAGTTTCTGATTTAGAAAGTTGGACTCGTTTGCTTTTCTCTTCCCTGATATGAACATACAGAATCTCTTGGGTGTGAATAACTGCACATTGTACATGAATGTGAAGATACTCACTTTAACTAAATGTGAGGAGAAACCGGCCTGAGCCATCTGCAGACCGAACCCTCGACCCTGACTGCTGGTTCCTGTGAAACAGACACAATAATCATTTGAACATGAAAAAAGTATTAAAGCTCCTCCAGTGTAAAGGTCTGTGTCCATGTGTAGTGTGATTATAGATCAGCTCTAGCTTCTATATTAATACTGTGAAAGTATCAAAGCCTCAGTCCACAGAGAAATGCACACAGCCTGTATTCAGAAACTGAGCCTTAAAACCAGCCGTCAGGACTTCTGGAACTTTGTGATGTCACAACAAAGCAGTCACCAAGCCCTGCCCCCCTGGACCCACCATCCAAACCTTGCAGGATTTGGTTTCTCTGAGTGTTTTTACCTGAAATCTGCTATATTTTTATTGGATCACTCAGAAAACAGTCAGCCAATCAGAGGAGAGGCTCAGAGCCTCCTCTCTTCTGATTGGCTCACCGACCTGTTGTTACTAGAGCTCCAGAGAGAAGCCTGAGAGAGGAGATGTAAAACTACACTGAGATGGTTTTTATATCTTCTGATGGATCAACACTTCAAATAAAACACAGAAGAAGAAACATGGAGCTTTAATGTGAAACTGTCATTACTACGATTGATCCCACTGAGAATCAACAACCTGCTTTAGAACATACATTACACTTTACAATATTTGCATGTTTTTCCTTGTTAGTTTTTTTTTTACAATATTTGCATGTTTTTCCTTGTTAGTTTTTTTTTTACAAGTGATAAAAGTAAAAGTCATATTAGAAGCCAAACTAAAGGGAAATGTGTGTTCTCTGGTTTTTGCACTTTCTACTTCAAGATACTGAAATATGTGAGGCAGAAGTTTTAAGTGAGCTTGATGTGAGTTTATCTCAAAAAGGAAGAAGTATGTTTTAACATGCTGAATGTAAGCAGACCTTCCAGAGTGAAAATCCTCTCTCCCAGAGCGTCCACGATGTCCTTCAGCGCCGACTCGTCCGTCACGTTGAAGAAATGTTTCTCGTCCGGGTCACTGGCAATGAACTTGATTTCTTTGAGAAAGGCTTCAGGGTTGATTCCCCGACGGTTGTAGTAACCCAGGACCTGGAGGAGACGCAGAGGAAACACTCAGGAAGAGGGTACGACTTTCACAAGGTACAACAGAAAGTGCGAGAAAGGAAGGAAGGAAGTCTGAGAGGTTGGATGTAAAGAAGGAAGTCCGAGAAAGCTGCTCCAGGACCAGACAGGAAGTCAGGATAGGTCAGCAAGGTATTCCAAGGTTGAAGGCAAAGATGGACAGACTCACAGCGATGGCGTACATGGTGATGTTGTCTCTCTCGCTGTCACCGACTGCCTGCACCAGCTGAGGACTGTCATGAGATTCACCGTCTGTGATCACGATCATCACCTTCTGAGCGCCGGGTCGGCCGCCGCGTTTGAACGCCTCCGACCTGAGAGATGACGGACAGTGTGAGGGTATCAGGTGGGTTAGTGTGTGCGTGTGTGGGATTTATTATTCCTGAGGGACGACTTTGTGTCGTACCGCGCCACGTTGATGCCCAGCGCCGTCCTCGTCTCCTCTCCGCCACGCTGGTCGATGCTCCTGGCGGCCTCCACCACCTCCTCCACCGTCTGGTACTCACCCAGACTGAACTCGTGGACGACTGTGGAGCCATACTGAACCACACCAACCTGCGTCCGAAACACACCACAGCTCAGTCCGATCCCTGACACCTGAAGGCCTCACCACACCACTGCTGCAACACCTTAAAAACCTGGTAAACCTCTGCAGACACTTTTCTGTCTGTCGGGCTTTAGTTCAGCTTCCAGTAAAACCAGTCTGCAACTGGTGGCTACTCAACTGCAGCAGGTGATAGTTCAAACTGCTGCTCAAGGGCACTTCAAGATGTTCACTGATTGACCACTGCTCCCACTGCTTTTGCAGGTTTCCCAGTTCCCGACATAACTTGACCCATGAAATCAAGACCACGTTTATATATCACTAAATTGTTTGTGGTGTCAGTCCCTTACGGAGGCAGAGAAAGGCCATACTTGAAAATATATTTTTATCCCGTTATCTCAACATAACAGAGATTTGTTATGTCAAGATCACAGAATAATCATCCTGTTATCGCAAGAAAACAAAGCTCCGTTATCGCGAGATAACGAAATAATTTCCCCGTTATCTCATTACAAAGCTCTGTTAAGGTTTAGGTTAAGGTTCGAGAAAGATCGTGGACCTGTGGATGTAAAGAGCATGCAGCGGACTGTGCAATTGCATGTCCCACTTTTTCCTTTAATTATATTTGGATGGTTGTTGGACATCTTCCTCAGAAGAGAAGAAGCTGTTTTTCCAGCCTGTGAAGCAGAAGCAGAGACTAAAACCAGCTCAGATTCCTGTTGTTGTCTCAGTGAAACACAGAACTGTCTGTCCAAAAACAAAACACCAAATCAAGGGAAACAAATGTCTTGTTTTTATTCTGGATTTAACGAGGTCGAGAGGTCATCAGCGGTGAGGGGAGAGGGAAATGAAAATACAAAAGCCGTGACCTTTGTCCTCATTGGCAGCTACAGAACTGTTTCATGTAAACTGTTGTGAAATTCTACCATCGACCAGCGTCTCTCAGAGCTGCCAGCAGCTGATGGTTTGTGGTGATATTCGATATCTTCACATTTTTTAGGATCTTGCCAAAGAATTCCAAGTTTTCCCAGTAAATGTGAGAGTGGAGCCTCTGACGCAGCATTTAGATCGTGACGAGACATTAAAGATGCTTAAAAAACACGATGCAACATCAAACCTGAAGGAGAAAAACTGCACCTCAGCCCTGAAACATGTATTTTGTGTGATATTAAATCACACGTGACGTGATCTTTGTAAAACTCAGGGATGAACCGACCTGCGTCTGACCTGGGCCAATGTAGAACTTTTGCAGGATGTTGATGAGGAAGTCCTGGACCTCGTACCAGGGGTAGATGGAGTTAGAACCGTCCAGAACGATCACGATGTCCATGAACGTCTCACACCCTGCAACATGAAAGACAACAAGATGGATGATGGATGATGGATGAACAGATGGATGGATGGATGGATGAACAGATGGATGGATGGATGATGGATGGATGGATGAACAGATGGATGGATGGATGATGGATGGATGGATGAACAGATGGATGGATGTATAGATAGATGGATGGATGAACAGATGGATGGATGTATAGATAGATGGATGGATGGATGAACAGATGGATGTATAGATGGATGGATGAACAGATGGATGGATGGATGGATGGATGGATGTATAGATGGATGGATGTATAGATGGATGTATAGATGGATATATAGATGGATGTATAGATGGATGTATAGATGGATGGATGAACAGATGGATGTATGGATGGATGTATAGATGGATGTATAGATGGATGATGTATAGATTACTCTGCAGGGCGGGGGCGATGGTGTGGGACAGTCTGAAGTTTCGGCTGACCCTGGAACAGATTCCTGTGCTGTACAAGGAGCTTCCACATTCATGAGACCAGAGCGGTCCACAGGTCTGAGGACACAATCACAGGTTTATTTTACATGAGGAGGAGGCGCTGACATACTATAGATATAAAACAGAAGATATAAAGTATATTTAAAAGCATAAAGAAGAAGGAGCCGTTCGCTCGTTGTTAAATCCAACCGACAGTTTGGACCCGGATCATCTGACGGTCTTCGGTTTGGACGCTCCACACGGTGTGGAGCTGAGCTGATATGGAGGTGGTGTGTCATGTGACTCACCACAAAGCTGTTGTCTCTAGGGTTAGAGGTCAGCGACATTCCCAGCCTCATCTTGTCTTTCCTCTCGGAGACGTTGTCCAGAGAAAGTTTCCCTGAAAACAAACAGACCCAGTTCATCACCGAGTGCAGCTACAGCCTCAACAAACACGGCGCCACAAACATTCACATTCATGTCTCAGTATTTGTTGTTGTTGACTTCAAGTTTTAGTTTGTGTAAATCAAAAATCAAAGTCTCCAGTAAGAGCCCCCGAAATCCCCAAAATATTATTTATCTATCTTGTTGCACGAGATAATGATGCTTATAAGACTTTTACTCAAGTATAATATTGAGTCCAGGACTTTTACTTTCACAGAGTATTTTAATGCTTTTATTTTGGTAAATAATCTAAGTACTTCTTCCTCTTTACAGTCCCGGTACAAAGAGCTGCTGTGGTGCTGATGAGGTGTGATGAGGTGTGATGAGGTGTGTCGCTCACCCAGGTGGAGTCGGCTGCAGTTTGCAGAGGCTCTTGTATCCAGCGGACACCTGTACACGTCACCTGTCTGCTGCTTCCCTGTGGATTCAAAGGGAGCTCCAACCAGCAACCTGGAGTCACACACACACACACACACACACACACACACACACACACACACACAAACACACCTGAGGCTCAGGTCATACAGGAAGTAACACATCCATCCAACAGCTGAGACGTTTCAGTCTGAATTGAAGGGGTGAACTCATTGTGCTAAAAGCTACATTTATTAGCACAAATACAAATATGAAGCTACTACATTTGAAAATGCATCTTTTTCCCTCCACCCTTGAAAAAGCAGCATCTTTGGATCCAATGGGAGCCACCCATTCTAACCAGATACACCTCAAGTGGCTCCTTCCAACGTGAAGGAGCAGCGACTCTACTCCGAGCTCCCTCTGCTCCCTACAGGTGGTTTTCACTGGGACGGAGACCTCCTCCTCTTGGAGCGATCCTTCTGGTCTGATTTCTGTTTTCACACCTGCACTAAGGAATCATACCACGGGGGAAAACCAACCACGGGTTGGTTTAACTGAACTAAATATCGCAGGTGTGAAAAGACCCTGAGGCTGAGCCCAGACTCCCTGCAGAGGAAGCTGGTGACCACCCAGAGCTGATGACTGGAGCTGAGGGTCCGCACAAAGATCGACTGGTAGATCAGTTCTCTGAAAGTAAAACAACTAAAGTGTGATTGCACCAGGAGCAGGATGTGACAGAGCAGAGGTTTACCTCCGCTCTGACAACAGAAAGGTCAAAGTTCAGGTTCTCATCATCAGATTCTTCTGCAGGGACCATTTTAAAAACCTGAGTGGTGCCTCTGTGATATAAACTCTCCTCAGAGGTCAGAGCAGCTGCTGGAGTGATCAGTGTTCGACACAGACCTGCGGCTCCAGTGTCGCACGGCGAGCAGCTTATTGGTGTTAACCAGAGTAAATACCACCACATGTGGCCTGGACGGCGGTTCTGGGAACTGGGCTGAGTCACATACCAGAGGACATGCCATAGTACAGCGCTAACCCTCAATCTGCTAATGCGTCTGCCGTCCACATCAAACGAGTGGAGAGCGGCGCTGACAAACCACATCCCAAACTGCAGACGGAGCGGGTCCACATCCTGCAGCCTGCAGCGGCGAGCAGCAGACAGAGCCCCGCCTCCCACCCTCTGACATCACTCCACCATGCTGATCGTTTCCTGAACAGGTGCTGTGACTTAGATTTCTGGGAAAACCTCAAAACTATACCTGTGTCTTCTCCCCCCACTTTACGGGACTGTTTGTCATTTAATTGCTGATTTCCCACACTTCCCAGAATGCCTTTCAACAGCGCTCTTTTCTCTGAACACTGAGGGTGTGCGGAGACCAAACACACTCCGAGACACAAACACACACACAGCTCGCAGCGTGGAGGCCGACAGGCCACGTAAACCCTGAGCTCGACTCCATAAACATGAACCGCCGGAGGTTTGACCTCAAAGGTCAACACAGGTCAATGGGTTTGACCTCCGACACGCAGCAACAACATCCTGGAGCAGACAAACACTGAGCTCAGTGTGGAGCTCTGCTGTAGTTTGACTCGTGTTTTCTGCAGCAGGTTTATTTACGCAGCCGCTGTGAGACTCTGACTGAACATACGCTGATCAGATCCTCAGTGAAGCTTCTGGCTGTAAGACGACTCATTCACACATAGTTTGAAATATCAACTGTTCATTTAAATTTGCATTTAGCAGCTCTCTCTCTCTCTCTCTCTCTCTCTCTCTCTCTCTCTCTCTCTCTCTCTCTCTCTCTCTGACACCTGCTCTCAGTTAAGTTTGTGTCTGCAGTTGTGATTTGGAGGCTGGAGTTTAGCTGCAGGACTGTTGTGGTTTGTAGCTGGAGACGAAGTGTTTGTTCTTGTTCTTCTGTGAATGTAAGGAAATTTACAGACCTGCATTTACTGATTCTTCTGGCCTCTTAGACACAGCCACAGGCTGTAAACACTGACGTGTCACACTATAAAGGTGATATGTTCGGACTTTCATGTCTGTAACAGACATGTAACACCAGACTTTACCCTCTAAACAAATCTGAACTCTGCTGTGATTCATATTTAGCTTCACATGTTTTCACACATTAAACTGGGTCTGAAGCTCATCTCTTCTTACTTCCTGATTGAGAAACCTGGATCAGGCCTTGTGCCCCGCCCACCACCTGCTGGCTCCAGGTGGACAGGTGAAAGAGCAGAGAGCATCAAGAGGAAATATCAGAGAGACTCAGCCACATGTTTGAGCCTCAGTCAGACTCAGACTCAGACTCAGAGGAGGAGTCTGAGACCAGAACCAGAGACCAGCAGTCTTTTCAGAACAGATCACTAGTTAGCATCTTTTCAGAACGGTTAGCATAGTTAGCATCTTTTCAGAACTAATAGCTAGTTAGCATCTTTTATTTGTTCATGTTGTTTGTTAGCTTGTAATTGGCAGTGGCTGAAACGGCGTTGGCGGTTGTGCTAATGCTAACTCCCTCTCTCTGACAAGGTTTCAGGTTTATTTAGCAAAGTCAAAACAAACTCCTTCAGCCTGGCTTTTAATCAAATATGGTTTTTAGTTATTAGTATCAGTAGTATTTTATTCTTTCCTAATATTATTTTAACTTTTTAACCCTATTTTATTGTATCTTATATCTTTCTTACTTGATTCATCCTTTTCTTTTCAGCTCATCAGTCAGTGAAGCACTTTGAACTGCACTAAACTGAATGAAAAGTGATATACAAATAAAGTTTGATTGATTGACTGATAAAAACCACAGGTGAGATTATTACAACTTTCACGTTTGTCTCCATCTGGTGAATCTCAGTGTTTGGTCTCCACCAGCTCCTGAGGGAAACCTGTGGCTCTTTAGCTGCTAAATGCTGGACTGTGTTCAGCAGCTGCTCTCTGCCTGAGTCTGTCAGTGGATGGTGGGTTTATCATTTCGCCGGTTTGATGATGAAAATTGCTGCCGGCTGCTGCATGAAAAGAAACTGATAAGAGCGGAGAGACTGAACCAAACAATCAGCTGAAATATGCTGAAAGCTCAGTAGAGTCCACTGTTGATATGAAAACAGATATTTTACTGAATGTTCTGTGAATCAGTTTCAACAAATATAAAAAGCAGGTCAGAGGTCAAAGGACACGGAGGTTTATTGGTACAAACATTTTACCTGTGAACTAAGGTCGTTAATGAAAGAGGGGAAAAGAGAAACAGACGATGAGGATTATTCCACCGTGGTGAGTCTGTCTGGATAAAAACATCAGCCAAACACCTGAAATGTCACCAGGCTGCGTAGAAAAACAACTGTGCAGAGTAACGATGTCCAATCCCCCCCTTTAAAACAACACACACACACACACACACACACACACACACACACACACACACACACACACACACACACACAGCGGAGTGATGGGCTTCCCAGAGGGAGGCTGGGGAATAACAAACCGCAACACATAGTTTCCAGATCCAGCGCTCTGCCTCGGGATGCAGGAGAAGCCGGTCGCGAGACAAATGCAAATACTTTCCACTTATTTACCTGAGACTTCAAAGGCGGAGGGATTTTGTAATCCTGGAGGACTGTGAGGTATTCATCAGGGCTGAACGCTTTCCAGATAAAACAAAGAGAAGCAGGAATGTTGCACAATCTCACCTGCGGCCGCAGACACACAAGAGACACAACAGAGCGACTGTGTGCAGGTGGAGTTCGTGTTGAAGATGTTTTATCTCTCAGACACGTGATAAAACATTTTCTCCTCCAGCTGACTGGTCAGTGAATCAGTCACACGTTGTTTGTCTAACACGTCTTTTTATTTGGGCTGGAACAGCTTCACATCTTTATTGTTTCCCAGGTGACGAACAAACCGTCGACTGAACGAAGTTGTGACTGAGTGTGAAATCAGTGGGGAAGTAATATCAGTCCGACATGTATCAGCTTCTCTTATCTTCATGTCTTCTTCATGTATTAATCTTAGCATCTTACATTTCATGTCTTTATCTGTCAGCTGCGACTCCTGCTATTTTAAATATTTTATGAAACACATAACAGTGTTTTGAAGGGAACCATTTTAATAATGAGGCTACTACATGTCCTGAGGTTGTCTGTGTCGTTGAGATAAGGTGTGAGGTGAGACAAGATAATAAACACCACACCACAGAAGACAGAAAGTTATCATCATCTCAATTCTTTCAGTTTTACCTGAAGTCATCTCACCTCATTCCCAGTTAATCTCACAATATCTTATCTCATGTCATCTCATTTTATTGTATCTCATCTCACTTCATTTTATCACTTCATTTATTCTCATCCAGCATCTTCTATCTCATTTCACAATATCTCATTTCATCTCACTTCATCATATCTCATTTCTATTTATCATCACTTCATTTAGGCTTTTCATTTTATTTCATCTCACTTCATTTTATCTCATCTCAGTCAATGTTATTTTAGTTTATATCATCTCATCTCACTTAATCTAATCTGGTCTCATCTCAATTCTTTTTATTATCTCTCTTGATCTTATCTCATGTCTTCTCACTTTTCTTTTTATTATCTCTCTTCATTTCATCTCATCTCGCTTCATCTTATCTCGCTTCATCTTATCTCATCACTTCATTTATTCTCATCCAACATCTTCTATCTCATCTCACAATATCTCATTTCTATTTATCATCACTTCATTTATGCTCTTCATTTCATCTCATCTCACTTCATTTTATCTCATGTCTTCTCATTTTGTCTAATATTATCTCATCTCACTTCATCTTATCTCATCACTTCATTTATTCTCATCCACCGTCTTCTATCTCATCTCACAATATCTCATTTCTATTTATCATCATCACTTCATTTATGCTCTTCATTTCATCTCATCTCATTTCATTTTATCTCATCTCACTTAATCTGATCTGATCTGGTCTCATCTCAATTCTTTATATTATCTTTCTTCATCTTATATCATGTCTTCTCACTTTGTCTAATATTATCTCATCTCACCTTTATTTATCATCTCTCTTCATTTCATCTCATCTCACTTTATCTTATCTCATCTCAGTCCATGTTATCTTAGTTTATCTCATCTCACTTCAATTTATCTCATCTTCCCTGCGGCAGACGGCACATCTGCAGGTTTAAACGTGTCTGCTGGTGTTCGAGTCTAAAGCAGGTTGGAAACATAAAGATGACGGATGAGAGACCAGACAGACACTTGCAGCAGACTGTTGAAGTGCCAAGGACAAACTGTGCAGGAATGAGTTGCATGAGAGAAAGAAGGAGAGTAATAATCTCTGAGGCCATAGGATCGGGTCAGCATTATGAAATCCTAATTTATAGCAGAGAGAACTAGAGATTAAGTCCTGCTGCTCCGCAGACACGTTTCCACTGATCACACACATCGGTGGAAAATGTGTCATCTCCAACATGATCCTGACGTCTCAACATGATTCAGTGACACACCGCTCAGGGAGGACACAGACCAACAACCACCTTTCCCAGAATCTTTTCCGAGAATGTTTTTCAACCGACTTTCCCAGGACATGAAACTTCGCTTTTGACAGTCCACAGTGTCCAATAAATCCACCAAACGTTCAACAGATATCTGAGTTTTAACCAGGCAAACAGACAGACATAAGACACTCTGTCTTCACCTAAAGGTACTTGGAAACAGGACAAACTGGGGTGGCCAGAGGATGACTAGAACTTGAAATCATTAATAATGGAGGGGATAATATTTTGAGAAATACTAACTGTTTTCGGTATGTGGACACGCCGATACAAACTGGTTTCGGTATGTGGACACACCGATACAAACTGGTTTTGATAGATGCGGGCAGACAGGTACAGGTTGGTTTCTATAGATGTAGAAAGATGCCAGTGAGAGACGGATTTCGAAGTAAAAGACTGTAAATTTGGATCAACCAGTATAAACTGGTTTCTATTGATGGCTAAAGCTGTGTACAGACTGGTTTCCAAGAGGTGGATAAACAGCACAAACTGGTCCCTGAGATGAAGACTGACCAGTACAGACCAGTTTCTGACAGATGAGCACAGACTGGTTTCTAAGACGTGGATGAACAGATTGGATTTTATAAATGGAGACAGACCAGTGCAGACTGGTTTCTGTTGACACTGATGGGCCAATACAGTAGATGTGAACAGACTTGTCTCTGGATCTGGTGGATGGTTATCGAACTGGGATTCTCACCACTGCCGTCCTCCTGCCTCATGTTGCTGGACTGTGTATCCAAACTGGGTTTCTTTAGAACCGGAGAAGATCTTGAAGTTCTTTGTGTCAAAGTTGAAACAGAGCTGAAGATCTGTAACACAGAAGAAGATGGTTATTTCAACACTTAGCTGATTCGATTGCGAACTGAAAGCTGCCCAGTATAACCAGTCAAGACCATTCATAACTGCACTTTTTAGTATATTTTTTTGTGTTTGTTGTCTTGATAAATGGTCGTTGGATTTCCAGCTGCTCTAGTTTGAATCTGATGGCAGAAGAAAAAGAAATCACAGAGTCATGTCTACACCCACATGAGCATAAAATAAACCGAAAATCAAAGGCAGTTACAACACAGATTAAGATCACTTCCTCTTGGAAAAACGGTCACTCCACTATCACTCTATAACTGTCACTCTGTCACACACAGGAACCCTCTGCTAGAAGGGAAAGGTTTATGTCTCTTTTTTCGAGGCACTTTGAAATGTAGGAAAGTCTCTAACTGAAGACATAGATGAGGAATGCTGAAGGAAAATGGCTTCCGCAAAAAGTAAATTACACTTCATCACTAAAAGATCTCCTGGACTTAAACTTTCCTCTAAGAGCCCATCTGGCCTGGGATCCAGACTCTGTTTCTCCTCCACTTTCCCACAGAAAAGAAAGAATTAAAATACTAAATCACACACAGGTGCTCCTGATATTTTCTCCTTCGCCACAGGTATGTGGAGGGAGGCGATATTATAAACAACTTCCAGCAAAACAACAACCAAAACAACAAACCAGAAAGACCAAATCAACAACACTACAAATAAATAGAATCAATACATGTCTGTCAGCCATGGGTGAAACACAAAATGACAAAGGGCTACTGGACTGTATTAGACAGTTCAACATGTTTCCTCCATCTCATTAATATTAATCATATAAATAAGTGATCACTAATCACACGAATCACTTTACCTGCCGACTGTGACCTGAAGGAACTTTAACAGAATCAAAACAGAAATAAATGTTTTGCTTTTTTTCCTTCAACTGATCCTGTAGTTATTAACTAACCACTGTTAATGGGAACACTTAGTTAGTTTGTTGCTTAGTTACAGTTTACAGCATGTCAGTTAGTTAGTTAATCAACTGCAGTACCTAATTTTCTAGTTCCTTATTTATAGTATCAGTTACCACAGTATTTTGCTAGTTAGCTAGCTAGCTAACACACATACACACACACACACACACACACACACACACACACACACACACTAGCTCTTGCTAGCTACCTAGCTACCTAGTTAGTTAGATAGTTAGTTAGTTAGTTAGTTAGTTAGTTAGCTCAAGTATGTTCATTTCTTGCATTATCCAGTTAGATACAGTGTTGTTCAGTTATCTGTTGCTAGCTAGCTCATTACAGTATGTCTTAGTTATTTGCATCTTGTCAACAGTTAGTTAGTTAGTTAGTTAGTTAGTTAGTTAGTTAGTTAGTTAGTTAGTTAGTTTGTTTGTTTGTTTGTTTGTTTGTTGCTACAGCAACAACAACAACCTGCAGCTCCCTGAATCATCTGTATGATCTGCAGTTCACTGGACTTTTTATTTTCTTTTTAGTACTTTAAGTATCAACCTGTTCACCCGACCGAACCGTCTGGGCTTAGAAATGACGTATTTGAGTTGTAGACCTTCTTGTTTGAGTCCTGAGACAATTGAGCATCAGTTACTGTCATTTGATATTTGTCTTTGTCGCCACCTTCAGTCATATTTCCTTAGCTTGATAAATTGGCACGAATGAAATCTGTCCAAAGCTAGACACATGGACACATGGCTTCTTCATTATCTTCACAGAGGACAGAGCCTCCTCACTGTTCATCAGGAACCCTTCACCTCCCTCCTCTTCCTCTCTCCTCCCTCTCCTGCAATGACCAGCTCTGCAGCTTCCTCTGGTTCCAATTAAAGTCTTTATCAGGAGGTCAGTTGACAGGAGGAGGGATGGTGGCCTGGAAGACCAAGCAGGATGATGAAAATGACGTCACTGCACTTTTTCAACTTTAGTTTCCATGGCAGGAATTGGTGAGCGGCCAGGAAAAGAGGGAAAGAGATGATTTCATCCCCTCAACAGAAGTCCAATAGGTTGAATTTAATCTGTATCATCCAGATGAATGAGAATAAGAATGATCAATTATCAGTGAGGACGATCCAAGGCATTCTTCCTCCATGAGATCACTACATTGACTGTTTGTGTGGCATGCCGAGAGAGAAGTCAAAAAACAGATTTTGATAGAAAAAGAGTGTCTTGATTTTTCCTTCCTCATGGTTTTGTGCTCAGAGCTTCAGTGACCTTCCAACTATTTCAGCTTTTTCTTTTCAGCTCAGACTGAGCGCCAGAAACTGTGTCACTCTCTTTAAAGTAAGAGCAGCTGAAGAGAGAAGAGATATGAAATGTGCTTGTCACTTCTGAAATTATAAATGGATGGATGGATGGATGGATGCTAATTTAACCCTCATCTCATCAAATCTCATGTTATCAATTTTTATCTAATCTATTCTCATCTCATTTCATCTCTTCTCATGCCACCTCAACTCTTCTAATCTTATCTCAATTCATTTCATCTCATTTTTACCTAATCTCATTTCATGTAATCTCAATATTCACCTAATGTGATGTAAACTAATGTAAAAGTTGTCTAACATCATGTATTAGCTAAATTCCTTTTATCTCATTTAAAATTATTTTGTCTCATCTTGTTTCATCTCTCGTCTTATCTTCACTTGCAAAAACTTCAAAAGAGGTTTCCCTCAGTTTTCTTTTCTTTCCTCCAGTCTCATCTTATCTGATTTCATTTTCATCTCACCTCATCTCTTCTAATTTTATCTAGTTTGATTAGAAGAATTTCTCATCTTACCTCCATACAACCGAACAATGACTAGATCTAGTATATCAAACCTAATCTAGCTAATTTCATCTAAATTTTTTATCTCTTTCACTCTTTCTCTTTGGACTGTGTTTGGACTTTTGTTTGTTTCCTGTTTTACTTTGAAATTACTTACCTTTCGTGTCTTACGGTTGTTTGACTTCCTGTCTTTGTTTTGCTTTTCCCGCCATTGTGATTGTCTGCCCCGCCCTAATGATTACACCTGTGTCTTGTTGCTCCTCCCCTTGTGTCTGGTCCAATCCCAATATCAAAGACCTGAACACTCACAGACTTAATGGATGTCACCTGGTGAGTGATCGAGTGTCAGTCAGTATTCCACTTCAAGTTGATGTTGGCATTAGACGTTGTCCAAACCTTGAATTTTATTCACCCAACCTCATGGCCTACATTCAACCAAATACCACCGTCAAACAGCTGCTTCTCTGCAGGGTCAGCCCAATGCATTTCATCTCATCATCTTTACTCACGCCAATTAATCTCTTCTACTCTCGTCTAATTTCACTTAATTTTTACTCATCTAGAGTTATTTTGTCTTTTACACCTGACTTGTTTTGATCTCATCTAACCCCTACTCTAATCTCTTCAATTTAATCTCAGTTTAGATTGATGTTTCATCTCATTTAAATAAATTGATCAATCTTTTATGTGATCCAGAGATTTTGTCATCTCATCTCAATTTGTCTCATTTAATCTAATCAAATTTTTACCTGATTTTTGTCTCATCTTATTTCTAATGATATTCTATGTATTCTCTAATCTCACCTCATTTTATTACAGTGCGTTTCATCTCATGTCATCTGATGATGATCTGATCACATTTCTTCCGTTCTCATTTCAACTCATCCTTTCTAATCTCATTTCATTTTATCTCAGTGCAACTCATATAATCTCATTTGACCTTGTTTTGTTTTGTGTCATCTCTTTTCTTGAAATCTCTGTTCATCTCATCTCATATTTGTGGATACTCTGTGATCTCATGTCTATTTTTCTTATTCAATTTAATCTCTCGAATATAACCCTCATTGTATCTCATCTCACACCAGTTCTTCCCTAATCTCATCTCATTTTCTCAAGCCAACTCATCTCCTCTAATCACATTTGTTTATCTCAATATGTTTCAAACATTTTTGTAAATGTCATATTTATATCTCATTTTTCTCAGGTCAAATCATCTCATTTTTATTATATATTTTATCTCATCTTGTTTCAACTAATTTTGCCTCAGATGATTAAATTTAGTCTCAATCTCACTTTATCTTCCTCTGTATTCGAGTCTGTTTTAATCTCATCTCATTTCATTTTAAATGTGCCAGTTTTGATCATCATAGCTGATGCTTCTGCTTGAGCTGGGCACTAATTTCCTCCCGTTCCGTGACCCTTTGACCCCGACCATGATCTTTTGACCTTGTGGTTGTTGCCTATGTGCTGAAGTATTTCCCCTGCGCTCTGGTTCGTCTCCTCCAGCTGTGTAAATGAGCGCAGAGCCCCAAAAACCCGGCGGTTTGTTTGCCAGCCAAGGCAGCGGTGATGAATTTGGCTGCTGAGGACAAAAATAAAAGACACTTGAAAAGAGAGGAATAATGGGCGAACTGTCTCTGTCTTTAAGTCGTGTTTGTTTCCTCTGGGGCTGAGAGGAATCTGCTCCTGTCTGCGCTGAGCCAAGGACCAGCTCGATTTATCGGAGCTGCTGGCGCGAGACAAAAAGAGACTTGGCAAAGCAGAGATACGAGATCTAGATCCAAGTCTGACAGTCTCCTATCGCTGAGACTGGACGATCTGACTGATCTTGACGATCCTCCGTAGCGCTGATGACAAATTTTTCAAATTCTTCTACACGGCCGAGCAGACTCTGTGACTTATTCTGTTTGTATGTGTTCATACTAAGGTGATTTTTCCAGATGTGTCTTCGCCGCTCTGATAATTGAAAACAGATTAATCTCCAGCTGCAGCTACTGCAGCAACAGAGAGAATATTTTTGTTAGAGGAGAAACAAAGTCTGTGCTGTTTTTGCAAAATCTCCAGTTTTCAGATCAGACGCAGCAGCGGGTAGCACATCTAATCAGGTCAAAGATGGGATTGATTTAGCGAACAGAGCTCTTGTCGAGCAGCTCGCAGCCAAATGGCGTCTGTGTGACTTCCTCCAGCAGGCAGGCAGACGGCTCTACTGGCTCAGCGTCACTGTGGACTGATGCTCACGTTGACCACAGCCAGATAACCCTTCACCCTCCTGACAGGCAGCGCAGGTCAAAGGTCACAGCCCTCACAGTCTGTGTAATGTCAGAGCAGAAGCATCAGGCTCATCTGGTCCGACCCACCAAATGCCAAACTCCCTTAAGAAATCCAGATGTTTGAGTTTTTCTTGCTAATCAGCCAAGTTACAAAATAAAAAGGATAAAATTCAGAAGATTTTTTTGGATCATTAGTCACAAATCGTAAAGTCAACATGAATAAAATCAACCAAGCAGCACTTATTTTAAAGATTGACACTCATACAAATGTATATAAACTCTTTTCTCCATATTCAGAGTTAGTCTGTGAACTCACCAAAAACTCCTGAGCTCCTAAAGGGATTTGTGGTCGACATTTTTCCTCAGTTACTCCTTTTTAAAGCCAAGAATTCACTTTAAATCTCAAAATAATCAATGTGTGCAAGCAATCACAAGTCAAAACTTGGATTATATATGTGCTGAATTAAACAGTGACTCCTTCTGTTTTAGAAAACGTGTTGAGTCACAGACTGTGGTGAGAATATCTTTCCCAGTGGACAAGAAGAAATTTAAATTCACCATTTTTTGAATGACGTTTGGTGTGAAAGTTTCTCTTTTACATAAGATGACACGTATCAAGAGCCGACTCCATCACCATCCAGTGCACACACAAAAAGTGAAGTTGAGATTTATTTTCTTTAGTTATATAAAAGTTTTTTTTAAACATCAGACAAATCAGTCAGAGATCTGTCGCTGAAGTCAGAGCTGCTTCTTCATGACAAATAAAATAAAACCACCATGTGTGTCTGTGGTTACTAACAAGAGCTGCTGTGATGACAAGCCAGCGGCAGGACGGCCAAGTAATATTTCTATTATGGTTTGTTTTGTAACGGTGGAGCGCCACATGGGTGGAGTGTGACAGCAGAGAGAGGACGGGACACTCGGATCCCAGCGACTCCTACCTCCCGCTGTCAGACTTTAAATCCTGGATGTCCCCAAATTCTGTCAAACTCGACGGTGATAAAGCTGAAGTCATTCTGTGTGACCCCACACGTTCTATCAGATGATCTCGGCGACAGCTCTGATTATATTGATCGGCTGTGAGGAACGTAGAGGTGATGTCTGATGCCAAGCTGAGCTTCTATAACAAAGTCAGACGTGTTAAACGTCTTGTTTTTAACCAGCTCAGGGTCGTTTCTAAAACCACTGATCTACAAACAGTTTCACATGCTTTTATTTATTCTCTGCTTGATTATTGTGACGCACGTTATTCAGGTATCAGCCAGACCTCCGTCTCCAGCTCGTACACAGTGCTGCTGCTCGCCTCTCGCCTCCCTTCACTGGCTCCCGCGAGGTTTCAGATTGATTTTTAAAATTTCATTACTGACTTTTAAAGCTTTAAATGTCTCTGCCCCCAGTTACATCTCCGAATGACTGACGAGGTTTGTGTCCAACCAAGAACTGAGATCTGCAGCTGGAGGTGTGCCGGGGGACCGGGGTCAAGGTTTGTGACTGAGTCTGGGTTCACTATTAGACCCCGACACTCTGGACCTCTTTAACTTCCTTTAAATCTCTTCTTCAATCACATTCCTTTGTCTCAGCCTTTGGTAACTTCTGATTCATGTTTTATTTATATTTATTTTTACAAACTATTGTCCGATCATATTGCATGATGTTGATTTGACATGATTATTCTTATGTTTTTTCTTGTAAAGCATTTTGTAACTTTAGGAAAAGTGCTATATAAATAAAGTTATTATAATTAACCCCACCTGTCTGGGACATCAAGGAGGTTAAATCAAATGCTAGAAAGCGGCGTTGGACTGGGTGCAGGGAGAAGCTTGTGTAGGCAGGTGAAGCGAGGTCTCGGCGTCAGCGACCACAAACTGACGAGCAGCAGCAGCAGCATGACGGATGTTTTGCTGTGTGAGTTTAACGATCGGCCTAAAAGCCACAACGCACCATAAAAACCACTTCACCCTCCGAGCTCCTGGAGAAGTGTTCATCACATCGCAGCGAGAACGACGCCGAACCCCACCCAGATTCAATTTACAGGGGCCAGTGGGATCACAGTGGGATCATAACACTCCCGCCTCGATGTGTGGAAACACAATTTCATCAGAGGGAAACAGGAAAATGCTCCGAGTTCATCCACTGGGAACGAAGTCTCATTTGTAAATTCACTGTTGCTGAAGACGGATCTGCTCTCCACCGCTCAGATACAACGACTGTTTACCGGACTGTCATCAGGTTAGTAAAGAGTTAACTGACTGTGGTGACCTTTGTTTTCCACCTGGACAAAGTGGAAATCTTCTTCAGATGCAGTTTGAATTAAAAATGGTCAGAAAATCCATGAAGTTTGAACATTTAGAGGATGATTCTTAATGAGCCAGAATTTATTATCAGAATTAATATTATCTTTATGACTCAATGAAACAATCCAGCTTTGTAATGTCAGGTGTGATTGGCCAGGTGTGTGGTTCAGACTCCTCTCTCAGGCTCTCTTCTCGTTTTTATTCCTCCATGCCGGCGACAGTCAGAGCGGCAGCCATTTTGTTTTTAGGTCATCCGTATGTACGTCTCATTCTCGTGGACACAATCTCAGTAACGACCTGAAGGAACTTCTTCAAATTTGGCACAAATGTCCACTAGGACTCAAGGAGGAAGTTAGTCAATTGTGGTGACTAAAGGTCAAAGGCCAAAGGTCACGGTGACCTCACAAAACACTTTACTCAAGACTTCACACAACATTTATGTCAAAATTTCAGACAAATAGACAAAGAGGGATGTGACCTGGAACTAGCCTGAGTGGCGGAGGGATACAACAACGAGGAGGAGGCTCTAGTTACCTCTGTGATTATATATATGTACACAAGCGAATTGTTTTGTCACCTTCTGTGACATCGGTCTGTCGCTCGTCCTGCAACACGTTCATATTGTTGGCTGTAATGAAGGAAACACCCTCATCCACACTAACACAAAGTCGACCTCCATCTTGATGAGCGTATTAGCTCAGTCCATACTGTTACGCCTGAGCGTGTGCGAGCCGGTGTAAACAGGAAGTAGATTGTCTCCTCTGCAGTTGTAGCATTAAAACAGAGAATGTAAGTGAACAACAGCTGCTAGCAAAGACAACAAGGTCAGTAACACAGTCATTCATTATCATGTTGTTTTCACCACTGGTAGTCCAGGCTGATGACAGCCAATCAGGAGAGACCGTGAGTGTGACCTCATTGTTTACAGAGGTCTCACTTTCTGTCCATCCAGACTACAACACAACCCCAGAGTCTTCAAAATAAAACACAACCCCAGAGTCTTCAAAATAAAACACAACCCCAGAGTCTTCAAAATAAAACACCACCCCAGAGTCTTCAAAATAAAACACAACCCCAGAGTTTCCAAAATAAACACAACCCCAGAGTTTCCAAAATAAAACACCACCTCAGAGTTTTCAAAATAAAACACAACCCCAGAGTTTCCAAAATAAAACACAACCCCAGAGTTTCCAAAATAAAACACCACCTCAGAGTTTTCAAAATAAAACACAACCCCAGAGTTTTCAAAATAAAACACAACCCCAGTGTCTTCAAAATAAAACACAATCCCAGAGGTTCCAAAATAAAACACCACCTCAGTGTTTTCAAAATAAAACACAACCCCAGAGTTTTCAAAATAAAACACAACCCCAGTGTCTTCAAAATAAAACACAATCCCAGAGGTTCCAAAATAAAACACCACCTCAGTGTTTTCAAAATAAAACACAACCCCAGAGATTTCAAAATAAAACAAAAAACCCAAAGTTTTCAAAATAAAACACAACCCCAGAGTTTTCAAAATAAAACAATTCCAGCAGAGCTTCTGAAAGTCTCTGTTTTAGCTGCTGAAAAAGAGAAATGTGGACGTTTCTCTTCCACCTGCTTCCAGTCTCCAGCTGAACACACAAAAACTTCTCGTTACAGCAGGACAAGTGACAGTTACTCCTCTAGTGCTGATGACAAAGACAAGTCGGGTCAGAACTAGCTGTAAACTCCTACTATAAACCCTCATACACGCTCATAAATCTTGATGAAGTCTTCCAGAGGCTAATAAAAGTTTAGAAGGTTAAGATGGCTTTGAACAAACCCACATGTTCTGCTTCAAAGATCTACACAGAGGAAAACACCGACCCTGGACCTCAGTCACCGTCCCACAGCAGAGGCGTGTTAGTGAAGCTGAAGAGCCGTGAGGCCGAACTATAAAGGAACGTGATAAATCAAACTTTCTTATCCATAGACTGGACTGATGACCCTTCAGAAAGACCCAGGTGTTGCCATAGAAACCGTCCTGACAACAACCAGAAAAACATTCAAAGAGACGAAGGTTCAAAATGAAAGTTGATATTTTCTTAAACATGAAACAGGCAGAAGATCAGCTGTTTAAAGATCATCAATACATCTTTTAATTCACTGCATCATTAAACTGTCCTCTCTATAGTGTCATCAATCTGTCACCATGGCAACAGGTGGCCTCCAATAAGAATCACTCTAATTAAGAGGCTTTAAACTCACATCGATGCAACAGTCCATCATCATCATCATCATCATCATCATCATCATCAGCAGCAGCAGCAGCAGCAGCACCTGTCTATCTGACATGAACACACTCATCCATTCACCTCTCTCTCTCTCTCCCTCTGTGTGTGTGTGTGTGTGTTGCTCGTTCGCCCGCTCACCTGGCAGGATGCTGCAGGTCCACAGCAGCAGCAGAAGGTGGAGATAATCCATGAGTGTGTGTGGCGAAGAGGTAGAGAGACAGACGGACAGAGTGTGTGTGAGTGTGTGTTTGTGTTGTTGGAGGGCTGATTCTGAAACTCTGCTGCTCTGATGTGTGAAGGAGAGAGAGGAGGAGGAGGAGGAGCGTGATGAACACACCTCCTTCTGCCCCATGTGTCTGCTTCAACACACACACACACACACACACACACACACACACACACACACACACACACACACACACACACAGATCTCTGGCTTTTAAAGAGCTTTTAACTTCACCTTCCTTTTTCAAAACAGGAGCTTTAATGTGGCGATCAGAGCACAAACAGGAAATGCCTCCATTTGTGTCTGTGATCGCAGCGAAGACCAGATGTGAACATCTGTCCAATAACCTTGAGGAGAAGTTACTCAGGAATGCGGGATTCCTGAGTAACAGGTAGCCGGTTGTAAATACTTTAAAACACAGTGTAAATACAGTTAGAACAGAAGCTCAGGATCTGATCTTCATGTTGAAGTTCAACCCAGTTTAACTTTTGACTTTAAAGCTCCATATTTTCTTCTTCTGTGTTTTATTTGAAGTGTTGATCCATCAGAAGATATAAAAACCATCTCAGTGTAGTTTTACATCTCCTCTCTCAGGCTTCTCTCTGCAGCTCTAGTAACAACAGGTCGGTGAGCCAATCAGAAGAGAGGAGGCTCTGAGCCTCTCTTCTGATTGGCTGACTGTTTTCTGAGTGATCCAATAAAAATAAAGCAGATTTCAGGTAAAAACACTCAGAGAAACCAAATCCTGCAAGGTTTGGATGGTGGGTGCAGGTGGGCGGGGCTTGGTGACTGCTTTGTTGTGACGGCTGGTTTTAAGGCTCAGGGGCCGGTTGCACAAAACACCTTTGATTTTCTACTTTAGTCTGACACTTAAGTTTAAGAAAGATAATTAGAAAACATTTACTACTTAAGGAGAAGACTCAAGGGTGTTAACTGTTTTTATCTTAAGGAAACCTTAGATTATTATTCTGTCAAAGCTCTGTGATTAAAGACAGTAACATTATCTAAAAGACTTTCATTTTATCTCATGAATTCTGTTTCACATCTTTCATAATTGAAACTGTGTTTTGAGTTTAACTCATTATACTGATGAAACAGAAGATCAGAGGGGATAAGCCTGATATAACTTAAATAAATGAAAATGAAAAACTGGGCAACTTTAATGACCATTGAGTGACATTTTGTCCAATCAGGCAACAGAAGTTGTGTTAATCACAGCGCTGGTAAACTTGTGAAGACTAACATTGCGCTGTCGTTGCCTAATTCATCTAAAATTGACCCGTAGTTGCAGATTGATTAGTTTTCTCATCATCATAATCTGTAGCTTTTACCTGCCACAACCACTGACAGTCAGTGTCCTTCATACACTTAAGTTTGTTCAGATCTAACAACATGAGTGAGCTTTACAGGAGCTAGTAGTTAGTTGTTGCCCCCTGTTTCCAGTGTTTATGCTAAGCTAAGCTAAGCTAACCAGCTGCTGACTGTAGCTTCATATTTCCTTGGATCAATCAGAACATCTGAGTCTCAGAGAGAAAGCACTTTCAGTAAATGGCTAATCTAGTGAGAACCGGCCTCTTGTCCCCAGACTGTAAGTGTGTCAACGCATGTTTGTTTCCACAATGTCATTAATACACACACGCACACACACGCACACACACACACACACATACACACACACACACACACACACACACACACACACACACGTTCCCTCCCCGTCAATAAAAAGATACTGGCGTGCTGCGAGCTGGACGGCGGCAGGCTGCTGTCACTCTGCTGGAAATAACAAGTGGAAACTCAGAGTCAAAGCAGCTGAGTTAAAGTGAAACAGACGGTAAAACAGCCTGTAAATCAGCCTGAGGGTCAGTCAGTGAACACAACGCCCCGTTGCTGCCCAACACATGTACTGTACAGGCAGACAGGGGGACAGACAGGGGGACAGACAGAGGGACAGGGAGACAGGTGGGACATGACCTGGACCAACAGATGATTTTTCTTCATTGTTTTTTCACAAAAAGAGAAAATTACACCAAAGCTTTTAATCTGAAAGGATTAAAATCTTCCTGTGAATAACAGACCTAATATCATGATGTCACATGCAGATGTTTGTGCACATGTGCATCTTTATTGAGACTGATGGAAACAGAACTAACCCTAACCCTATGGCTTTATACACTGATGCAAAGAGCGGATATCCACGTCTCTACCTTTGTGAAGCTTCAGTCTCAGACCTACAGAAAGAGACGAGACGAGATAAAATGAGATGAGAAAAGTTAAGATGAGATAAAATAGAGATGGGATGAAGTAAATCAAGATGAGATGACTGAGATAAAATGAGATAGGTTTGAGATGAGATGAACCTTTATTGATCCCTGTAGAGGAAATTCAAATTTGACACAGCAGCACAAGTGAAAATTAAAAGAATTAAATAAAAATAGAAGCAGAATCTAAAATAAATAAGATAAAGATAAAAAGATAAACATACAATGTAAAAACATGTCCTTATACTATGATATATGACAACTATACATATATGTGTGTATATATATGTATATATACATATATATATAGGAAAAGGGTGATATTTAAAATATACAATATAAATATAACTGCATGAATCTGTTGTCGTCTCTGTGGTTCACAAAGAAAATACTGCAACACAAAAACTCCACAATCAAGATGAGGATTTCAAACCAGCAGTAAATCTGTGGCGAAAACCACGACAGTAAATCTGCTACAAGGTCTTTTCACATAAAGTCCAACTGCTGCTTTAACAGTTGTTTAAAGGGACTGAGGTCCTCACAACACTGGTGTTTCATTTCAAACTCTGCAAACTGACCTGATTGGACGGATTTCAGATAGTTTTCAGTGAGTCTGGAGTCTGTCTGGAAAAGATTAAAGATTTAACCACTTAAACAAAATTATGTTTTATAAAAGAAATCTCCATTAAACACGTGTGATTATAAATGTACAGGAAATGTAGCCGATGTAAATTCATGGCAGAGCTCAGAGTCGATCCCTGACAACAGAGCGACGAACATCACAAACATCACAAACATCACAAACATCACAAACATCGCAGTCCAGAGAATAAACTGCTCTGAGATCATTTCAACCACAGAACAAATACCCAGCCGGAGACGGAGAACACTTCTGTAATGAAAGTCACTGAGCGTCTCAACACAGCTCTTTCATTTCCTGAATCTCAAATGTTGGAAAAAAAACGACACGTTGGACACAAACACAGAGAAAACAACAACTGTGGAGAATAAACGTCTCACAGCTCTTTGACTTACATCACCCTGGCTTCTCAGACCCAGGATCAGTTTGTTTCCTTGGCATCACCCAGTGAAGAATCACTGACAAGTTAGTGAGAGTTACACAGATAATCACAATAAAAGTCTCCTGACCGCTACACCTCCACCTGCACACCTGCTGCCTCTCACCTGCCAGATACAGATGTTCATATACACCTTGTTTTCTAAAGGGCGGGGCCAGCTGCACAAAACACCTTAAAGTAAGATTTCCCTTAAAGTCTGAGTTAAGGTTTCCTGAAATAAAAACAGTTGCCTGAAGACTTCTCCTCAAAGTTTCCTTAAAATATTCACTTAAATATTTAAGGTTTTCTCCTTATCTTAGTCTTATACTTAAGGAATCACTTAAAGTCAGTTAAACTGTTGCACAAAACACCTGAGTGACCAAACTAAGGATAAAAGTGAAGGTCCCTGTGATTGTGTCTTCACTGCAGCCGGAGCTGAGTTCAGTCCCACTCTGTTGTTCAGCCTGTGGGAGTCTTTGCTTTTCTCTGCACAGCGTCATTATTCCATGACCATGACGTGACTTCTCTTCCTCCTGAAACTAGAGAGAAATGCTCATAAATCCGGCTCCGGAGACGGAGCAGCACTCAGATCAGATAGAGACAGAAACTTCAAATCACCTTTAGAACAACTCAAACACGAGTGTGCAACTTTCTGTGCTGAAGTTTTCTTTCGTTATTATGGTTTACAGCTCTTACGTATAAAATAAGGAAAAATTCAAGGTTTGTTTTTTGTTCTTTTTTACTTTAATGAGCTGTTAACCTCTATGATACTGTACAGAGTCTTTAATGAGTGACATGTATAATCAGCTGACGTGCTGATTCTGAATCTGTGCAGCACGTAGTGAAACTTCTACAGTTTTATTAGGAAAAACACAAAGGTTTGAAAAAACAAAAAAGTCTTAATGTGGATCCTTCTGACTGAAGCAGCAGCTGAAGTTTCTCTTCAATCCCTTCTACTCTGTTAGTGTGTTCCTGTGTGTCGGTAAAGTCCTGCAGTAATCAAGCTGCTGCAGCAGCTCTGCTGCCTCTGATCTTAATAACACAATGCAACAGATGCTCATGTATAATATACTGTATATATATATATATACTGTATATACTGTATATATATATATATATATATATATATATATATGATGCAGGAGCTGTTTTATGTCAGTGAAAGTCAGTGGGTGATTGTTGTGAGTTTTTGGTTCCAGGCGAAGCAGCTTTACAGTTACAGATGCTGGATAACTGGTTCCAGATGGTCCCAGATGGTCCCGGGTTCTTGGTTCTGGGTTCTGGGTTCTGGGTTCTGGGGTCTGGGTTCTTGGTTCTGGGTTCTGGGTTCTGGGGTCTGGGTTCTTGGTTCTGGGTTCTGGGTTCTGGGGTCTGGGTTCTTGGTTCTGGGTTCTGGGTTCTGGGGTCTGGGTTCTTGGTTCTGGGTTCTGGGTTCTGGGGTCTGGGTTCTTGGTTCTGGGTTCTGGGTTCTGGGGTCTGGGTTCTTGGTTCTGGGTTCTGGGTTCTGGGGTCTGGGTTCTTGGTTCTGGGTTCTGGCCTGAGGCTTCCAGTCGAGCATCAGGACAGACTGACGTGTTGAAGTGTGTGTCCACACTGTGACGTGAGCAGCTGCTCAGATTATCGTTAATGTATTTTCTGGTTTACA